CGGCTCCGGCAGCAGGGCTGGGCTGAGCCGGAGCTGGACTCGCCCTGGCCCGCTGGGCCCCGTGGGGCTGAGACCCAGGGCACTCTGCAAGGGCTCTCTGAGCAGCCCCCGCACAGCCGGAGCCTCGTCCCGTCACAGGAGACATCCTGGGTCTTCCTCTAAGTACCCCAGCTGTGTGAAGCTGCCTTGAGGCTGTGTCTGCTGTCACCCAGCATGTGACAAAACTACTACCGTTTAAAAAGCCCGACCCAAAATACTGTGTTGAGGATTGCTCCTTTTTTTCCTGCGTAGTTGCTCGTTACAGGCTGTTTAGCACCTGGAAAATTGTAGTTTAGCCAGTTTTGGGGCTGTTGTAGAATTGCTACTCGTGTACCTAGGAGGCTACTTTTTAGTCACGTGTAGGGGCTGTTGTTTAAACATCTGTTTAATTAGATTTTAATCTGCGTTGCTACAGTTAGCTACTGCTTTGTTAGTGGTTTTTTTTGTTGTTGTTAAGTCAAAGTTAATGATCTGCTGGCGTTAGGTGTTAACAGCTTCCCTTTCAGCTCTTCCCAAGACACACAGAGCTAGGTTGTAACTTCTTTAAAACAAAACCAAAAAAAAGAGAAAGAAAAAGCTTTCATAGTATCTTGGGGTTTTACATTTGTACCTTTAAATATTTATTCGGAATTTTATAAACAAACCTTTTATAAATGTCTTTTTAAAATAAACTTCACAGACTGGTGCTCAGTTGAAACAACCTCTCTCGTTTGGTTTCCTCCACAGCCCCATGGGGAAGCAGGCTGGAAGCGGGAGCTGGCCTCCATCCAGCAGGGATGCTGCTCCCCCAGGTGGGCTCTGCCTTGTTAGTGAGCCAGCCACAGGTGCCCCCCGTGTCCCTGGTCCCTGCCTGGGGCAGGAGGTGCCCCTGGGTGACCACGGGCAGCCTCAGAGGTGGGTGCACAGAGCGTGGGCGGTCACTGCCCGCAGCCAGCCTGGCGCAGAGCCCAGGGGCTGAGTCTTGTTGTCCCATGCACATGCAAGGACAGAAGTTTGTTTTCCAAACAGTGGTGTAGGATAGGAGCTTACAGTTATGGAAACAAACCAGGACCCAGCTGAAGGGAACATGCCCCTGTGTGTTTGGCCGCTGTTTCTAATAACTCTGGGCTCCACTGGATAAACTCTGAAGCTCCAGAAGGGAGATAAATCACAGATGCTCCAAGCTGCACGGCAGCAGAGGAAGGCTGAGAAGTACCAGAAGCTACCAAAGCTGGGTCTCATCTCATTTCAGCAGTTAGCAGCCTCCTTGTACTACCATAATTTATGGTGTGACCTGAGGACAGATGAAAAAACATAAAGCTTGGTACCATGAACATCAGGTTAACCTGTTAAACTTCAGCTATTCTGGGCTGGGTTTATCCCATCAAAATGCCCCTTACAGATCCGTTACTCCAGCTTTAACTGCCAAGAGAAGACAAAGAGTAGGAAGCTCCAACCTTTCAAAGTGGTGGTTTGAGCAACCAATCATCTTGTTGAAGATGGCAAAAGCCTAACCCTAATCTAAACATTTCATTATGTGATATGTATTTAATTACAGCCTGCAATTTTATCAGCTGCAATCCGAATTTTGCACAAAGAAGGGGAAAAGAGAAAGGGGTGTTAGCCTAAGAGCTCCTCAACAGCTTTGACACAGCCAGTTTTCCAGCAGATTTACACACATGGGGTCTCAAAAGACACATGGGGTATTTCAGCTCTGCTGACCCCTCTGTGAGAAGAGAAGACCCTGGTGCCTGCTGACCCCCTCCCCAGCTCCCAGCAGTGCTGGGGCCAGTCCCTGTTTGTGATACACAGCCCGTGCTCCTGGGCCTGGCACTGCCCGTGGAGAGCACAGGCTGGGCCACGCCTGGAAGGTCAAAGTCTCTGTCCCTGGAGCAGAGGACAAAGGTAGCTGTCAGGAAGGCAGGGCCAGGACAGCAGGACTGGCCTAAGAAGTTTCAGAGTGAGAGGATCAAGAGAACAGCGTCAGAGGCTAAAGATTACAGTAGGTTTCTGTGAAAGGAATAACTTTATTCCATTGACCAGGAATCCCAAGACTGCCTATTTTTCCAGTGCCAGATGTTTAGGCGTTCATTGGACAGTATCTCCCCGAATGCTCACAGGCAGGCTGCAGTTGCTCCTCACTGAACATTTTGTAAGCTGTATAAAAACATTTTCATCCAAAAAGATCGGCAGTAAAAATTACAACATAGAAATGCATCACAATTTACACAAAAACTATTTTTTTTTTGTTGAACTCTATTTTCCAAAAAATAATCTTCAGCAGGTTCGAATGACAGCAGCTGGAAACAAAAATAATTGACCGAGTATCATCTTATTGCAAATTATAACCACTGACTTTGTACAAGCGTGAGCAGAACCGTGAAAAAGTTCGTATTGGTTTCAAGTATACAGTGGTGATGAGCCATCCTGGTGCAATCCTCCCATCGATGCTTCTCTGGGCCTGGGGTAATCGAGGACGATGTTGTTTCCATAGGAAATAACAGGAACCTGAAGTGACAAGTGGTGCCAACCCATAGGAACGTTACCAGCTCCTCCCATCACCTCTGTGTACTGGCTTCTTGGGATGATTCAGGACCCATTAACAAACTACTAGGGATGGGGGAAAAGGAAGAAGGGGGTTCTGTAAGAAATTTCTTTGAACTTAACTGAAAAACCTCACATTTAAAAGGTCCCAGCATGTTCTCACCAACATTTATAAAATGCTAACTCTGCCGTGGGTCTCTGAAGAGGCTGTTTGGAAAAGAGAGGGAGGGAGTGGTGACAGTGTCACCCTCGTGACTCCCGACGACGGCTCCTAACCCGCAATAAGTTACAAAGCTGTACAGCTGAACTCAGACCTGATGTTTACTTCCAACAGTGAAATGACTGATTAATTTCAATATTAGTGCACAACAGTGAAAAGCTGTCTGCTGCTTCTTGTGATCGGCAACAGTATGTGAAAAGGAGAACAAAACAAAACAAAAAAGGCACTTTTTGGCTGGTTGTGCCTTTAACTTGGCAAATTTATCTATTCTGGAGGTACCCAGGCACTCCTTAAGATGTCCCCCGTTTCTGTGCATGTTTTTTTTATATAATTTTTCTTAAAGTAAGGCAGAATCCATAAATAAAGGCAAAAAGCAGTGCAGAAAATGTGACGAACGCAAAATGTACAAAAGATGAAGAGTTGGTTGGCACAAAAGAAGCTTGTATCCACAGCCAGAAATCACTGACGTGGAAAACAAAACTGAGCTCAAATCATCCCAACTGGTTTCCAGTTGTTTGTGAGCAAATCAAAAGAGCTGTGGCATTTTAAACGTTGCCTGGTCAAGCGAAAATACAAAGCCGAATCGTTCTTTTCCCGTGTTAAAATTGCTATAAAATCTCTACAACAGTGTCCCCAACTCATTCAAGGAATTTTTCATCATATACAACCAATACCAACTTTCTCAGTAATTTCAAAGCATAAGCAAGTGATTGCAGATCACATGATTGAGACGACTTTTTATTCAATATGTCTCCAAAAAGTTAAAAAAAGTTTAATGAGTAAATCTGCAACAGAATTCCATCTTAAAGTGCTTTTCTTTTAAACTACTCATTAACTTTTTTTTTTAATCCACCAGCTTCCTTTAATAACGAACACTTGCATACCTAGAGAACAAATCTTTTCTTTCATTGCCCTTCCCAATTGCCTGTGGTTTTTGAAGGGTACCAGAAAAGATGACCCATCCCAGAGCTCCATGACCAAACCATTCTGTAAGGAAACGCTCTCCTTACAGAGCAATTCTCCTGATCCTTCTTGAAAAGAGCTTTACAAATTAACAGGGAGACATATTAAATACAGAAGTCCTTATGTAAACCCATTCTTTAACTAATATTTTACAATGAAATGTAAGTCATCACACATCTTTACAGAAATTTGAATATTCCTATTCAATATTATCAGAAAGATTAAAAATTCGCCCTCCATACTTAAGGGCAGTCTTTTTTTTTTTTTCCTGTATAAAAACCAAAAGAATTTTTTTTTTTTTTTTGCAGCATCACAGAAAAGCAACAGTTTTACATTCACTCATTTAATGTTCACATAAAAATTCAACCACTAGCGTTTGTGTTATCTGATAAAATCTTCTTGACAAACTGTTTTCAGTGTCTGGACTGTCATATGCTACTGCACGCCAGGATGCAGTTCTCTAGAGCATTTATTGATCCGAAGCATCTGGGGCTAAATAAATGCTCTTAGCTTTCAGGGAAACCACCTCCTCCTGCATCGCCTCTGATCCTATCCAGCCACTTCTCTTCCAGACTCTTCTAACAGCATAAGCAACGGGACTGCAGTTTCAGTAGGTACCAGGCATTGAAGGTTTGAGTCGATCTTTTCCTGTGTTCATTGGAATCCTCTAGGGGTCAACATCATCAAGGTCACTTTTAGGCTCACCGATCATCATAGGAGACTCCGAGCCCTTTTGGCACACACAAGGGATGGGGAGAGAAAGATACAGGACATTACTTTTGAGGTGCACAGCCGTGTCTACATTTGGTGAGGGTTCTGACCAGAGCCCCAGGAACGAGCTCTCTGAGAGAGCAAGATGACAGAAGATGAACATGCCCTCATTTCATGGTTACCTGCTGCAGGTGCCTCTCTCCATTCTCGTTGGCAGGGCTACCTTCTGACCCGTTACTGCTTCCAGACTGATCCTTCTCATTCAGCAAGGCTGTGGCATAGGCCAGCGTGTCCTGAGTTGGGAACAGTCCAAGAGAGTGTCAGGGGCCATGATGATACCCTCATTTCATCACTTTTTTTTCTGTTACATAATTTTTAAAGTTGATTCTAAAACAATATAGCTCTTGTGGTGAGACAGCTGAGTCACCACAGGTAATAGTGAGGTATTGACTAGTATAATTCAGGAGTTAGTTTTCTCAGCAACAACCACAGGGCCTGGGCTTCAAAAGGAAGAATGGTCTTATGTGCACTGGCATGTGCCAAAATTGCCCAAACCAAAGCAAAAAAGGAAATAACCCCAGCTTAACATCCTCTCCCAAGATGGACACAGACCTGTGCTGAAATAGTGCGCTGGAAGGTTTTGGCAGTTGATGTTTCATTGGATACATTACTCTGTGGAGCCCAGTAATGTTCAGACATCTGTAGAAAGAGTCAAGAAAGCCATAAAATTGCCATACAAGTATTCTGTGTGTGAGGACTCATCCACCTGCGATGGTAGGTGAACTACTAAGTCAGGGACAAGCTTCCCAAATCCTCTGGCAGTGAGCTGGAGATCTGGGGCATAGACAAACACAAGCTTTTATTGACCCTCGGCTGAAAACTAGCAACCAGCTCCCTTTATTTGGTAATTATGTGCTTGCAAGTTACTGGATGTCAGCTGAAGAGTGGTGGATGCAGGGTTTACATGGACCAGTTCAAAATGGGAACAGCAGGACTCTCCAGACCTGTCAGTTCTCTGTGTTTCAAGAGAAGAGTGGCAACAAGTTGTTCCAGTTGCACTGCAAGCATCCCACTGGCTCTGCTTCTAGTGTTCAGGTCTGTGCTAGTTCCTGCACCTGACATTGCCTGGCAGCAGCTGTCAGGACAGAAAGACAGCCTGGAGATGGGATAATGTCATGGTCCACATGCAGCACGGGGAGACCAAGCACAGCCCTGATGGACTCCAAGCAAACCTGGGCCAGTTCTGCTGAGCTTTACATTTCCCAAGCGTCCTTGGGCATTTATTAAAACTGCATTGGCCAACCTATGTGAAGCTTAAAGGTAAGAATAAAAACTACACATGTGGGAAGAAAAAGCTCTATCTGTTAACAGCTGTTTTGTGCAAAGCTGCAACAATTCTGTGAAGAATTTCCACTCACGTTCTCCTGTACTTTGCCTGCATGCTGACACAATTGCTTTTTTAAAAAAGTGAAACCTTCTAACAGCAATACAGTGGCACTGAAAGCTCCCCACATGGCAAGGAATGATCATTACAACCATTCATGTGTGGTTTTAGTCACCGTACACAACCATGCCTGAAACACATGGGGCCTACTCAAGTTCTTACATGCATCAGTTTTAGTTGTGCCCAAACTAACCTTGTAAAAAAAAAAAATGAAGCAGCTTGTGTTTTGTCCTTGAGTTATCTCAGGGAGCCTTATAGAGGATGGAGATTTCATAGTTTTCATTGCAAACAAAGTGACCGTTTCTCTATAAAGTTACAGCCAAATTACCTTTTTCTGTAGCCACTGCACAGCCCAACTCCAGTGGTGGGAATTCTCCTTGAAATAATCTTTTGCAGTAGGGCACCTTGGAAGTGGAAATTATATGCATTAGTCATGAACAAGGCATTGTCAAGCTTAAAAAATAAATACCCAAATTCTTCTCTTTCTTTGCACTGCTACTTTCTGTATGCTCAGTTACCACAGCAAACTGATGGGAACTGTAGGCAGCCCTGTTGTTAACTGAATTAGCAAGAGAAATAAAGCCTAGTAAAGTTTACACAAAGTAGCCTATCACTTGTATCAGAGTAACAAAAGAGAAAACTGACCAAAAGCCGAAAGAGTAGCAGCCTAAACAGTCACAGATGGGTGTAAGGTAGGGATGGGGTTAAACTCCAAAACCTGTATCACTCACTTTTGAGCCAAAGTAACAAGGAACTTGACACACTGGTAACAACGGCTGCTGTCCACATGGTTGCTGTGGTGCATCAAGGCTGTGGGGAGAAACACAGGGACTAAAATCCACAACTCGGGTTTCTGCGTACTGGTCTGAAGCATAACAAAGCAAGCTAAAGTTTTAACTTTGGTGGTAGAATTTATTTCTACAGATGTTAGCATGAGTATTTGTGTTATACACACTGCTGTCTTGCTGGTAGTTTTGAGTATTTCCACAACTCTATTGGATTAAAAACAGATCAAAGTGAAAATGAGTAATTCTTTCAAATGTGGTACCTGAATTTGAAACAGTCCTCTCCTAATACAGTTATTCTCCCCCTATAATCCATTCTATGTTAGATAATTGCTATGGTTACATCTATCTGAAGGAAAAAAAAAAAAATAAATGTTTGAAACCCCCCTAAATGGACCAGATCACCAGCTTTGACCTGAATTAAAATTTGCAGAGCTAGAAGAGCGTTTAAAGTTTCTTCACACAAACAAGCATAGCAGAATTCAACAGCCATGAAACTCTTCCATGGGAGACTTGGGCAAAACCTGAGGCCATTCCTGGCAGGAAGTTTTCTATACTGTGAATTCCCACATCTTTTAACAAAATTATTTGACTAAGGAGAAGCAGAAAATTTTCCATGGAGCTGCCACAATCAGAGTGGCTACTCAGAAGTTGCTCTGTCCATAGCAGTCAGGAATAACACTGCAGCAGAGCCTCTAAAGCTAGTAAATAACAGCTAGGGAACAGCAAATTGCCAGTTTTTCTACTGGGAGTAAAAAAGATTAAAATTACAGCACTGGTATACTGCAAGTTAAGCAAACATCCCACTGAGGATGACAGAAAATCTGCTGGTTTCCTTTCTTGGAGTGAAACTAGCCAATGTGACAGACAGGGCATGGTCCACGTGCAGTGAGAGCAGCTGCTGCTGAGGGCTGTCGTGAGGAAACACCAAGGTAAAACTACAACTTTCACTCCCCAAACTCACAGCAGCTCTGGAAGTCTTCCACAGAAGAATCCAACTGAAGAATTGTACTTCTTCTCTAGAGCAAAAAAGGGCATGCATTGGCCAAGCTACAGAATAGCTTAATTCTGTGGTTAATGCTTGTTTTGGATTTTTTTTGGCACATTTTTTTTGGATGGTGGTGGCTAAATCAAATATACTGGGATTGTCTTCCTCAGAAGTAAACAGTTCAGAAGGATTAGACACCAAGAGATGATGGTGAGCCATCATCAACATAAGGGTCAGCAGCAGACAGGAGTGTTCACCCACTGGCTTACTTGCCTATTAATCCATTTTCAGTTTCAAAGGCAAATTTGATGCGCTCTACTTGCAATGGGTCTTCAATAACCTGTTAGGAAAGAAAAAGACCAATGTTAGTAAGCTGTGTGTGCTACCTGTATCTAGTCTACAGAATAGCTTCAACCACCTCACCAGGAAAAACAAGACTTGTGAAGTTTATCTATCACTTATCTTATCACTGAATTATCAAGACAAGCAATTTAACAATAAAAACTCTGAACTGAAGGATTAAAAGATACATGGATATAGAAAAGGACCAATGCAGTCCTGAATTTCTTTCATTACTCATCGATACAAAATCTGCCCTGTACGAGTCTTTACCCTTCACCCACCAGTATCTCATGGAGTAACTGGAATATGTTCTTCAGTTCATGAGGTGGAGCAGTTTCCAGGTGAGTCTGAGTGTGAGAAATACAAAGTTACTTTGACAGTAAAATATGTTCATGACACAAAGAACTGCAAGAGATCTTTACAGACTTGAAAAAATTGTTTTAAACAATAAAACCCTAAAAAAAATCCCCTAAACCCACCAACATTCCCCCCAAATCCAACAAACGACAGATGGTTCTGCAGATCCAAGTTCCATTGAAGCCCACAAGACACAGTGTAACTTAAGTTTAGACAAAACACTTATGCAAAAAGCTTATTTTGATTATCTCCCTACCTTGATGAAGTGTAGCACAGTAAAGGAAAAGTGCTCATTACAAAAGCAGCAGTACACCACCATCTCCATGAGCACTGACAGAGACCCAGTGAGCTCTCGTAACGCATACATCACCTAAAGGAAAAGTGCAAGTCACTTCAGACACAGTCATACAATTAATTTTAGGTACATAAGTTTGTAATAGGATGTTAAGTCTTTTCCAGGAAGGATGCAGCTTTTCCTCCCAGCACCTGCATGCCCCAGTGAACTGACTCCCTGCCCTCATGGCTCTGCATTCAGCTCCTCTGCCCACCTCCACCAGTCTGGTCAAGCTTGATCCATTAAGTCAGAGCAATTTCAGTCAGGCCCTCCAACTGACATGGTAACTGGATGCATGGACACCTGCTAAGTGTGTTCAGCTGCCTTTGTTAAGATTGTGAACTCACACCAGACCCCTCAGTTTAGGGACATATCAGAATAAGAAGAGGTCATGAAGAAACCAAAGGTGCCTTCTTGTTTAGGCTCAAAATAATACCCATATACATGCCAGCTGCCTGCTTCTTAATATTCAGTGTTCTTCACATAAGGGTACTTCAAACAAATCACATCAGACCAGCTTTTAGGTTCATGCAGGGCAGAATTTAGAAGAGATACCTCCATTAAGTAGGGTTTTCCCTCAGACAGGAATAACAAGGCTTCCACTTCTTCATGGAGTGCCAAAAGTGGACCTGAAGTGGTGATGCTTAGAGGTGGACGTTGCTTAAAGAGACCAGGAGCTATAACAGCAAATACAAAAACAATCCACTAATAAATTAAGTTTGTTCCACACACCTTGAAGACATTGCTGCTCATTTGGCACCATGTAATCTCTAATGGCATTCACCTCAACTACCTCACAGTTCACATGGTACCAGCTCCCAAGGAACAATCTTTTGGACACTGAGGTGGCCTTTACTTTAGTGACAACACAGGCAAATGAACTGCAAGAAGGTCAAAGCAAAATGTTCATATTTACTAGCAGTACTTTGAGCTTTAATTTCACTCCCAATCACCGTTGTACATTCATCATATTCAGAACTCTTATTCTTCTTTTACTTTATGATTTTTGACTTCTTCGAACTCCAGAAACTTTAAATCCCGGACAGAAATCAAGCTGTTCTTTTAAAAAGACAACTTTAGATTCCTCCTTTAGGAAGCTGAAGAGTTCAACTTACTCCTTTATTATCTTTATTGGAAAATTTCTGTCTCTTGTAAAAAAATCCCTAGGAGAATATTTCATTGCTTGTTACTCAGTAGCTCAGCCTGAATGCTCCCCTTCAGACTAGCAAAAGGCATAACACATATAAGCAAAATACAGCCTGTTTGTTGGCTGAAATACTCTCACAGCCAATGACACAGCTTGATTCACTTACATGAGGAAAGATCTTTTAGGCACATGGGAAAGAGGGGAAGGCACAATATTAAGATTTCCCTCTCCCCTCTTTAATACAGTCTGCCACAGCCTCTCAGTACATTTACAGCAAAATAAAAAAGTAATCAAACACACGCTAACCATTACTGCCTTAAATTCAAAGTTATTGTCCTTTCATCACTGATATTAAGTTACTCCCAGTCAAAGTAACCAAAATGCAAAGGCAAAACCACAATTCTTACCAACATTTCTTTGCAAGGAGACGTCTGAGTGTAAAACGAGTAGTGCTACAGTGTTGTGCAGGTACCCAAACTCCCGTGCCTGGGCTGAGCTCCACCTGCGGTTCTGCTTGGGCCAGAGGAGAGCTTTCATTAACTCCTGACTGGTTGATCTAGTCAGCTTCTGTTAGCTTAGAACAAAGCACCATCCTTAAAAGCCCACCACCATTTTTCTAATACTTTGAAGCTGGTGAATGTTGTCATTATCAAAACATGATGCTCATTTCTGCCGCAACAGCTACTTCCATTACAACTACACATAGATAGATTGAAGACTTGTGTGAAGTTTACAGAATAATCCAAGGATTAGTCTATCCTACCACACAAAAAGTACTTATCCATAATTTAAACGTCATGAAAAACATGGGGACAGAGAAGCTACAGCACAACACATGCTCTGTAAACTTTACCTGATTACTTTGCCGGTTGGGGCCAAGGAGAAAGTTGATCATGTGCCTCAGAGCAGAGTGCCTGAGGAGCAGACTGCTAGCCCTTATGCCTTGCTGTGGAGACAACAGTAAAGTTACACCCCTGGGCAGGTAAAGAACTAGTGCTCTAGGGAACAACAGTAAAATGCCTAGGCTAAATACTGCATTTTCCACTCTTAGAAAAGTCACCTAGATCAATCAGATACACCTCCAAAAAGCTGACTCATATAGAGCACATTATATAAACCAGACCAGAATCAGCACATGCAGAATAAGTGTCATACTAAAAATAAAGAAGGGAAAAAAGACTAGAGAGAAATCATACTAGGGTGAATAGTGCAGTCCAGTCAGTTACTCTGCTTCCTATAGGACAAAAAATTCTGAACACTGGATTTTAAGAACAGCCTCTAAAATAGCAACCCAAAATTCAGGCTCTGGAAATGACATCTTAAATTGGTGTGCTTTGATGGTATATCTTTATGTGCTGTTATCCTAATCTAGTATTCAAAGCCATTTACTTCTCAAAAACCAAAAAACCCCAAACAAAGCCATGAATACTTTGACAGAAGTTCTGGAAGAGTTTCACTGTGCTACTTAAACATTTTATGAATATAGATGACTAGCTGCTTTACTGTTGCCCTTTAAAATTAAAATAGCATAAAACCCTCCAATGGTTTCTTACCTTCTGTACGAAGTTATTGAATAGCAAAAAGTACTGAGCACAGTTTTTACAGTTTTCAGGTACATCTTTATCCAGTAGAGCAAGAAGCACCTCCAATAATTGATGTAGACTTTTTAACTGTAAAAAAAAAGTATTGATTTGAACATAAAGAGTTGTCTACTTAAAAAACAAAAGCATTTCACATGTTAGAGTTAACTGTTGTATGATTCTGTGAAATAATTTGGTTCAGGTATCCCAAGGGAAACAGGTAAATCTCAAACATTCTACAAATTATTCCTTTTCACAACAGGCATCTGACTGTTGGAAGAAAATCACTTGAAAATTAAAATGACTTCTGGAATCAGAAAAAGATAATAAATCTTAAGAAAGCACCGTTTCCTAACAATTAAAGGAATACATGAATATGTTTACAAAGCTAGCTGAAATCAGGCAGAATTGTTTACAAATAATACTCTGAACTTAAATGCTGAGAATGACAGCAGTACATTACCTCATAGGGTAGGAACAGACAAGCATTGACCTATTCAAGAAATGAAGAGCTACGAGCACGACCAAGACAAGAGCCTCTCACCCTGTCACTTACAAACCACACCCCAACAGGACTGTCAGTGATGAGGTGACACTAACCTTCTCCTGATAAAGCAAGGCACTGTCAAGGGTTTTTTCAAGGATAGTGGCTACAGCAACTCGCACCTCTCTTACACTGCATTCCAGGAGGAAGGTCCTGGAAGATAAAAGGCGAAGCTGCAAAGAGAACTGGAATCAACGTGTACACACGATTGCTAGGATGAAGTGTGGTGTTTGTTATTTTATAAAGGGTAACAGTCCAGATACTTCTTGTATTGTACTTCTGTGCATAACTTTAAGTTATTTTCCTGTGCTCCTGCTTGTCACGAGTGAGGCTTATACTATTAATTTATATTTATTCATTCAAGTAACCAAAAAAGCTCTAACTAAAAGCTGTCACAGGATCCTGCCTTTCAAAGCAACACTAAAGATAAAATTTTCCTCACACTGTCACCTCTTCAATTATGTTAGATCTCCAATGATTTCTCCCAGATTTTTTTTCAAAATACCTATTAGTTGATCTTAAACTGGAAAGAATTTCTCACCAAGCTCATTTGTCATCTTTGTCAGGTAAGTACTTAACATGCCTTACCCTAAACACTCACCACACTCTCCCACTACCTGCAGGAGTGTTTACACAAACTTGAAACACATTGAATGAAACATCTGCATCCTCCTCCACATATGTTGCACTATTTTATTAGATTTTCAGAATTACTCATAAAGCTGCACAAACCAGAGGAAATGCTAGAAATAAAAACCCAAGTGATTATCTAGAGTGTCTTTTTAAAGAGTGTGTACAGTCAGGTCTTTGGAAATACATCAGTATAGGCCAGATCATGTCATTAGGAAGCTTTAGCCATACGTGAGACACAAAATACCTAAGAGAGAATTATGACTACTTACTTTACAAGTTCCCGGCCCTCTGGCCCAACAAAATACTCAGCTAACCACTGACAAGCATCAATGCTTTTGGAAAGCAGAGCATCTATGGTGGCAATCCATTCTTCTGTATCGGCCCTTTAACAAAATAGGGACAACTGTCAGTAATGAAAGAGAAAAAAAACACCTTCCAAAACCTCAGCCACGTTTCTTGTTTGCCAAAGAGAATTTTTTTACTTTAACTGAACATATATTAGATAGCTGAAGACAAAAACACGTAAGAGAAGTATTTTGGAAAAACTTGCTGTCTTTAATTCATTAAAGCCCTTTCATGTCCAATCGACCACCAGTGAAATTAGACAGCCAGGAGAGGCAGCAAACTGCCAGGTTATACATGACCCTCCTTCCTCTCTCCCATGGAATTCCAATGCAAAGCAAACACATTGCTACACCTCTGAATGCCCATGCCACCCCCACACAGCATTTCAAGGTGATGTAGGTATGACAAGCATGCAAACCTCAGAGCATGTTGTTATGCTACCCAAAACAAGGCCTTACCTGAGTTTCTTCTTGGTACGGAGATAGGTTTGGAAGAGGAACTGGACTGCCAGCTGTAAGCTCACCTTTGCCATGCATGGATAATAAGGATGCTTTACCTTAGTCTGAAAGAAACACTAGGTTTACTCCAGAGCAGCATGCCTGCAGCCTGTGTGCTGCCTCTTAAACACATCAACATGCTCAGTTTTCATTTGCAAAAAACGAAACCAAAGCATTTTTCTGTACTAAAAACAGTCTCTAGTGCTGACTATGCTAGTTAACAAATTCTCTTAAATAGGAATAAATTTGCTGTAAGGCCCACTACACCTGTAGATTTAATAAAGTTAATAAATGCTGGTTTAGTATTCCATTTAGAAAGACTTCATTAATAAACTGTATTTCCTGTGAAAGTCTATTAGCTTTGAGGTGACTAAAGCCAATGTTTGGATCTTCCATACACAGAGGAATTTCTGTTCCTCCAGAGCTCAGTTTAGATCATAAAAAAGTCTGTGTTATTTCTTAGATTTTACTATGGCACAATGTTTCTCTACTAGAACAGGAAGCTGGAGTGTGATTTGAGATAGATGATGTCATCAGCATGAAAAATTACTGGAAATAATCGATTGTTCAGCTGAAAAAACAGAATCATGTCACCCTTGTAATATACCTGGGTGTGATCCAAACAGTTTTCGTGGCCCCTTCTACCAAACAGATTCTGAATACTCTAATATTAGTCCAGTTACTTACAGCATTCAGTGAAGCTAATGACAGAACAAAACTGAAGTAGTCACTACTGTACACATCCCTGTTCTTCATAAATTTCAGGTTTTCATCTCTCACCATCTGTAAAAGAAGGCAAAAGAAGAGTTGTAAAATTACTTTCTGTAACTAAAATTGCATCTTTTAAGTACATGTTTTTAGAACAGTTTTAAACACCAGTATTGGTGTTTAAAGTCCAGTGTCAGGATTATTCTGCTCACACTCCATATCACTGCTTCAGTGGAGGGGAAAATACGTATGGGAGACTTAGCAGAATTGTAGAAAACTAGTGATTTTCTTCCAAGGATTTTACAAAACTCTTGCACACGTGCAGATCAGGAGGATGGTGTGTGTTCAGAAGGACAAATATCTGCAAGATTGTATCCTCTCCTGTACAGACCAGAGCTGATCTTCCTCTTATGACAGGTCACTGCTACCCAGGTCCTACCATCCTCCCACTGCTCTGCTAATGGCATCACAACTCCATTTTCAGTCCTGACTGGAGTTACCTTCAACATCCATGTTTTCCCTTTTAGGATCATATTCAGTATTACATGAGCTAACAGACATGAACAGAACTGAAGCTGGTTTTGGTTTCTCTTACTTAGCCCCTCTATATCTTTGTGAGCTTAAGAACATGAGGATGACTGTAATTTATTACTGCCTCCATTTCTCCTCAAGTGTACTTCAAATTAAGCATCTTCTCTGCTCTTCTCTCTCCCTGTCTGCATGCTGACTGCTTCCATATCTCATGTTTGACCTATCTGTCTGCAGTTTCTTCAAAGCAAAGAATGATAGATGAGTTTTGTGACAAGGAACAGCAAAACTTACAGTAACATACCACTGAACAGCTTGTTAATAACTATATGTCACGCTCCAAAATTATTTCCCAGCTTTGCTTTTAAGAAGGGAATTACTTTCAGTCCACCTTCAAAGCTACTGTGTTCTTCCTACTACGTGCATAAGCTACATGTGAGTGGGATTTAGTTGCCACTTTGAGTGCTCTACCTGATAGATCCGCACGGGCATCTTCTCTACAAAAAGTCCCTTTTTTTCTCCTTTTCGAACCAGCTTGGTCAAGATGGAGAGACGGTCACTGTTGGGCCTGTGGGGTCGAGGTGATGACTGGGGTGAAATTTCTGGTGAAGATGGAGCAGACCTGAAATACACACAAGCTCAAGGTGAGTAATGAAATACTATGATAAAACTACAGTTCAAGTTTAAAATACCAGTACAGTCAGTTTAAAGATAAATTTAGATGACAGTCTAAATGCTTCTTGAGCTGTCAGCCAGCTTGAACTGCTTAGTGCAGTAGTGCTGTCACTATTGCAGTAAGAATTGCAAGTATGGAAGAACATGGAGATTCAAGCATGGAAGAGAAAATGATAAAAGCAATAAAATACTATTCATTAAGCAGCTGAAAAAACAAAGCAAACCAACAGAAGTGTCAATATTCTCTTTTGTCGAAAAGGAAAGAATCATTTTTGAGTTCTGGAGATAGGGGCTAGATACTAACATGAGAGAAACCTTTACAGACACAAGAGGAACTTACAGTGAGAGGTCCTCTGCTTCCTGACGCACAACGCTCACTCGGCTTTTCTTTGGTAAGACAGGAGAGTTCTGATCAGACACCCTCTGGTAAAACAGCATGTAGGCATTCCAGTAGCGCCGGCGCACGTCAGGGTAAGGGTTAGCTGAGGGGAGAAAGGCATTCCATGAAGGCCCCTGAAGGTTTAGTGCCTTTTTTTATTCCTATAGGGAAGTGAAACTGGGTGTGCAAGTAAAATACACCATTGCAATATGAAGTAATTTGTCAGATCAAGCCATCAGTCTGGTTTCAAATAAAAACCTGAATTCTTCTCAGGTGTTTTTGCAAAAGGTATATGTGTTTTAAAAAGATAATTATAATCATTATGAACCAAGTGAATATTGATGGAAATGTATTTGGAATTAATTCCTTAAAGCAATGAAGAGTTTCACTATATGACAGCATATCACATTCTACGCACAGTCACAGAGTCATTAAGGTTGGAAAAGACCCCTAAGATCATGAATTCCAACCATCACCCAACACAGCCATGACCGTTAAACCCTGTCCCCAAGGGCTACATCTACACATTTTTTGAACCCCTCCAGGGATGATGACTCTACCACCTCCCTGGGCAGCATGGGCCAGTGCCTCACCACTCTTTTAATAAAGAAATCATTTTCACTAGCCTGACGTAGGAACTGTTTTGTAGTTTGTTGTTGTTGTTTTTTTTTTTTTTTTTTTTTTTTTTTTTTTTTTTTTTTTTTTTTTTTAAATTATTTTAACAAGGTGCCATTCTACTTTTGAACCTCCTCTGCTACTCAGTCTACACAGGCTGAACAACAGTGAATCTGATTCCATTAATATTAGGCTGTATACAAGCTGTAAAATCCTTCAGTAAACAGAAGATTTAGGAAAAAGCTTCAGAGGGATTATCAGACCAAGTAAGTTAAAGTAGATATAATGGACCAAGCTCTGTGTCTACTGAGAGCCAGTACAAAATATAAAGCTACTGTAAATCAATCTGTACTTCAGCTTACATTGATCATAGACTTTAGGTCTATACTCGCCACCAAAACACTCATATTCCAAGGTTTCATCAGTTAAATCAAATTCTTCAACAACGGTGTCATTGAATTTATACCACTTTCCTTTGCCGCATCCCCTGTGATCAAAACAGAAGAGAAACAGAACAGAAACAAAGTTATTTATTGTCTAGTAAAACACCAAACCACCCTGAACACCCTAGAATTGACAGCCCTGAACTCACATTTGTTTTGGCACAACAAAGCTTTGTTCCAAGTGTATGTCACATGTTAAAAAAAATGAGCATGAAACAATGTGTGAAGCACACCACCTGCAACTAAATGCCATGGGAAGCCCTCAAACTGCAATGCAAGGTATGTAAAAATTGCTCAGACTTTTATAATATGGTGTCCCATATTATTTTGGTACTGTCTTAACACTCACAATGTTGGGTGTTAAGAAAGGGAAGAGTGCTTCCACCAGAGCTGCGAATGGCTCACTCCACTTTCCCAAAACAAGCAGTCTTTAGACCACTCTCAATCTTCTCAAAATCTTCTCAGATCTTCTTGGCCATTACCTCCTGTCCTTTATAAAGGAGTAGTAGTGCCCTGCATGTGCCTGCCCGCTGTGAACAATCACACCAACAAGTTCATAGTTTTCTGTGGGAGCAACTTTCTTCCTCGGGGAGCCTCCACCTCCTTGATCTGCAGTTCTACCATTGTCCCCCACTTCTGAGGATGAGTCCTGGCGAGCCATCCCTGACACAGTGTAAGGTTCCATGTTCAGCATCCAGGGAAACTGTGTGAAGAGACAATCAGATTAACTGAGAGATTATACTGTCTACATGCTTAGTGTAACTTTATGAGAATTGCATTAATACTTCCCACACTGGGAACATCAAAGGAAAACAAGTTTTCACCCTTATGACATGGAAGTTAAAAAGTGTCTTTATAGAGGTTTTTCCTCCTGCTTTCTGAAAGGACACCAAGAATGCTTCAGACAAGGAAAGCTCTAAGGAAAAATAATTTCTTTTCTGTAGCATGATTATGCTGTAAGTGTACCACATACCCAAAATCCCTGTATCAAAATGTGGGGAGAAGGAGGAAGAATGAGCAAGAAGAGTGAGAGTCCACTCCACAAAGCAGCAGGGGCATGGGGTGTGCCATAAAGAGAAGTTTCTTACCCTTATTTGTTCATCATATTTAATAGAACGTCCGCTCTCCCAGTCAAAGCCAAATCTCATCAGGTGTATCACCAACAGGCTAGGTAAGACCTTAATGCACGTGCGTTTCACTGTAGTTCTCTTAAAAAGAAAAAAGAATATCACCTCTATCTATACACCTCGAGCATTCTGCAGTCTTCTTCCAGAGATGCACAATTCCAGACATCACAGAGTGATGCACAGTCCAGTCACATGACTATATTCCATACAGGTAGGGTGCTACTACAGGTATTACAGAGTTTGTGTGTGGGCTGTTATGCCACAGAACATTTTACCACCCTGCCATCTCTCTAAATGTTCAGTCTGTGAGCTACAGGAAATGAAGAGTGCTGTCTTCATGGATTTAACCTTCTGATCATGTATCAAACATGGAGAGTAAGCAGTATCTAAGCATGGCTTCTCTGACCATGTAATGCTTAAGAAAATATCAAGCTACAGCTGATACTCTTTCACACACATGAAGCAGCAATACCTTTTCTTTGCACTTTTCACAGTAGTATGCATTGCTTCCTTCCAGAACTTCTCCTCTAACAAACTGATCCAATGATATTTCCAGGCTTTGACAGGAAGTCACACCTAGGTTGAGGGCCATGAAAGCTTCCTCACGCTCATACCTGAATTGAGAAAGACAAATAATAAGGCACTGCCAGTAAAACCTCTCCAACCTGCATTAACAAAACACATGCTTAGGAAAGAATACTGCTTTTGCCTCACAGCTATTGACAGCTGCAGTGTCACAAAGGCTTATATCTCTGCCTTCTTGTGCTATTTTTGACCTACAAATATTTTAATAGTTATGGGAGCACGGAACTTTGGTAACAAATGCACTGAATTTAGCATTACCTGTGAGGACAATCCTTGCAGATCTTCTGATCAGAGAAGATTCCTTGAAAAGTATTCTTAAATATTTGGTCTCTTCCAATTTTCTGTTGAAGATGTAAAGTTAGACATCAGCTGGATATATTACAGAGCGAAAGACCAAGAAAGCAATAGGAATGTTAAACTTGTCAATACTGTGTATATTATCAGTTAAGCCAAATAGTTCTGCCTTCTTTTCTGAAGAACAAAGGAGAAAGAGAGAAAAAATACCAAGGAGATGCATATAAATAAGGAAAGAAATCCCTGAGTTTTTTACCTTGAGGTACTCGTCCATTTGATCTATAAGACTGGTGAAGAATTCATAAGCATCCTGCTGCTCTCTGACATAAAGTTCCTTATTCCACATCTTGAAAATCTAAATGAAAAATATATACATATGAAAGGTCATTGTTCCACATACATAGAGCTAAAAAAAAGTGATTTTTTTAAAGGACATTTGTTATTTTTACATGTTTTGACTTTCTGAAGTAGAATTTACTTCACAAGTTCTGCAGTGAGAAAAGGCTGAATAAACAACTACTTGTTAAGCAGGAAAGCTATATAGTCTAAAAAAGATGTAATACCTTCCAAAAATTCTCAGGTACATAATACTGTAGCTTGCTTTCCATCAAATGACCAAAGAGAGACTGAACTTGATAGAACACGTTGTCATCTGGATTGTCTGTATCATCATCAATGGAAAGCAAGGCCTAGAAGGAAACAAATAACTATTAATTTTGCCAAGAACTAATTTATTACTGTAAGTTGTCACGATAGAACATGACAATTTATAATTTACATATATTGTGTGCATATATTTATGCACACAAATGTACATACACAGTTGTGGTGTGTTTTAAATTAGTTTACAAATGGTGCTAAGATGAACCTGCACTTCAGGTGACAATAATTCCAAAAAGAGAACTTCACTGGATGTTCAATCAATTACCTCTGGAAGACCAGGTTGCATATATAGCTGCTGGAAGACTGCATTCATGTAACAAGTAGCACCTCCATTCTTGAGTCCCACAAATCCCGAAATGGAGCGACTATCCACTGGTGGAAGATACTAGAATGACATTTTATTTTGTCCCAGTAAGTTATAAAAAGCTTGAGAGTCCAGAAACATACTATAGCTTTCATAATCACCTTTATATGAGCTGTTAAGAGCAATTTGATGGAAAACCAGGAACATAAATTCTGAAGGATCACAAGAGCGTTACAGTCGGTCATTTAGATATTTAACACTTTGCACAAAACTGTTTGAAATGACCTAAACTGTGTACAAATAAAACTGATGATATACAGGAAGTACTCCTCTCTTATCCAGGTAATAACTGACAAAGACTCACTGGATAATTTGCCTCTGAGGAAGGTCAAATGGGTCTGCATTTACGCTTATCTGCTTTTTTTTATTTTACATTGAAAACCATGGAAGTTTCATGAGCAGAGCAGTTAAGTGGATGACACACAGTACTACAAACCATGCCAATACAAATCAGAAAAGGGTTTCTTGCTTACATCAAACTCCTTGGTAAGTGCAGGGTCACACTGGTGATGCATGGAAAGCAGCTCTTTTGTAATGAGCTGGAGATTGGAAGGTGAGCTATCAGCCAGCATTACCAACACTTCGTAAGCTGCTAAGCGGCTATCTGCTGTGCTGCACCTAAAAAGAAAACCACATTTGAGATCTGTTTTGTACATGACTCAATTATTTCCAATTCCAGAAAGCCACATTACTCAGAACAAGTGACAATGCATGTTCAAAAGGAATACTTTAAATGATAACACACTCCTGGGAGAGTGCAGAGTGCTATTTTTTTCTTTCCTGGGGAAGGGGAACAGGGAAGAATTGAATCAGAAGAGCAGCACCAGGAACACTCCTTTAAATAAGCTTCCCTTAGTGACATGGAGACACCCATTAACATTCAGGAACAAGGAAAAGCAGGTGCCCTAAAAAGAAGGCACAGAATTGGTTGTATGTCTGAGGACAGACAGACACTATCAGTCTAACACTGATAGAGACTTATTTACAGGGAGACAAGTTTTGAATGAGCTAGACCAGATTACTTACTTGCTACAAGAGATGATCTTGGAGCTAAGCTGCACCAGACCAGTACAGAACACCTTTACTTAGCTCTTTTCAGTGGCTTAAACACACCAGCCCTTTCTTCTAAAGGCCAAAGAAAAGGCTTTATTTACTTCAAAAAAACAGAGCATGCTTGAGATGAACTGCAACGGAGAAAAGCTGGAGCAAAACACTGAAGGGTAGCAAGTCCTGTTCGGTTCAGGGTTTATAAAATGCTCCACTGGAACCTTCTTCTAGAGTTGTGGAAAGGCACTGAGGGTGTGTCCAACCCACCTCAAACACCCACTAGCCAGTGTTGTGTAAGCAATACAGCTGCAGCAGCACAGAACTCCACATAAGCTGAATTACCCACCCCTTCAGATAGTGTATGGCCACAACAGCAGGCAGGTGTGACAGGAGAGACAAAGCCCACTCTTCTTCCTCAGCTGATATAGCTGAGAATAGCCCAGGATATCTCAAGTGCAAAGAGACTTGCTCAACACTAGGGTGTTTTTATAAAAGGCAGTTCTTTGCAGGGAAAAAAAAAGAGTGGAACTTTTAAGATTCTCATTTACTAAGAGGCTTGGAAAGTTGATTTCCTGCTTATGCTCCAGTGTAGCCAACCTCCCAAACAACGATGAGCTAAAGGAGTACTCTTTGGACTCATGAAATCAGCGTTCTGCTGTGCTTGCACTTCATTCATCTAACAAACCAAGTACAGACTTTGGAAGTACAGAAAAGCAAAGATTTTGGGTCACACAAAAACTTACAAAAATGCTATTTAGAGACATATGCAGGAAATACAGAGAATTAGAGAAATGCTCCCACATTGGTATTAAATCCTAGTGTCCATAGCCCCATTGTGACATTGGTATTTGTGAGATCTAGGACAAAAACCAACAAGAACAAAGCCCCCCATTTCTTACTTTGGATGAAAGTCCTGCTGACTGATTGCAGCACTGCCTGCTGGAGAATGGCTGTTCAGGATAATCCTGGATGCTCGGAAGAGGAAATCATCCAACAATGGCTTAATCAAAGAGGAACCTGCAACACAGTAACCCACATCTACTGTTAAATACTTACATTATCACTGCCAATGTCAAAAGGTGTTCTAGAACAGGAAAATCGCTTAACAGCACCATATCAACAAAAAAACATCTACAAATATTTTATCAAATGTTAAAGGTACAATGAAAGTACTGCCAAAATCACTCCTTATAGCTCTGCAGTCACTTCCAGATGTTACATCTTCTCATGTACTGTCTACTCATCAAGTCACCTGTTAGTGCTATGCAGAATGCAAACAAGTCTAGTTACTTTAGAGTAAAAAGGCATACCTACCAACCATTTCCTTCTCTGCCCCACAGAGTGAAAGGAGAGTCTTGATGAGCCTCAAGTGTCCTGCTAACAGGATATTATCAGCTTCACTGGTCTCACACTCAGCTGTGCGGTTGGGGTCGAAGTTGTCTAGCCAGGTGATCTCATCTTCTAACATGGCAGCTGGGCTGATCTTTAGCTGCTCCATTTCTGATGCTGCATGAGAAAAAGAAAACCCAGACAAAATTAAAAACTCTAAAAACGCAGACTATAAATACAAAGAATTTCAAACTGTTTGCTAGTGGGCTAGTTTCTCCCACAGTGTGTACAAAGTGTATCTGCCTCAAAGGAACCTGGTTCACTTTCCAAAAGGAGTGAGCTGCTTTGCTGTTACCAAATGTCAAGAAGAGCCCATGGCAGGCATTAACCCAGGACAGCCAGCACACTGGCAGGTCACATCGAGCTCCTGCTTTAGTTATCTCCCTGAGGAGACAATTCTACATCTTGTCTACAGAAGGAAGACATGCTTGCAAGCTGCAACCAGAGTGACAACGTGTGCCTGTACATACTTACATGTGAGGTCATCCAGTAACTGACATCTCAGGTCAAAATATTCTGTACACTGGGACAAAAGTCTGAAATGGGTACAAATAAAAGAAAGATTTAAATTCAAGTCAAACTTTTCCTAAGCAGTTGCCCTTGAGGCCTGTGTGCTCTGTCCATCTAATCCAAACCAGCACAACTAGCTGGGTATGCTTCTGCATGCACACACTGCAGCTTTAAAACAAATCCTTCCCAACAGCTACTTCTGAATGTTATGAGCAACACTTAACCTTGCTTTCTTCACCTCATAACAATTTTAGTTAATCATCAGATGATAAAATAATAATGTTTTAACTTTTCAGTTACTCCTCTGTTCATATTCCTCTAGAAATTGCTGTTTAAAATGACTGTTAAATTCAACCACTTTTGGCCAGTTAGGGACAAGTTAACAGGACTGACACCTGCAGTCTTTACAGGTGTAACAGGTAATGTAAGCACAAGAACTCAGGTGAAGTCATGGGTCCCAACATCACTGAAAAGGCTGCAGCTTTTAGGGCTGGTTTCTGCTCTGGATCTCTGCAATACTACAATATAAATTCAATGCTACTGTCACACATCTCATTGTCCCTATGTTTCATGCAGGATTCCAGCCAGGTTCTGATCACACCCTAGAAAGAGCAGGTCTATTTAGCAATTACCACCCCACAGGTGACAATTCAAGTAAGCTGAATGCTTGAGTGCTCAGAGGAAGAGCTTGAGAATCCAGCTTTCTTTTCCTTCAATTTACATACTTCCAAAACTATCTGGTGTGTGACAGGGATCTCTACTTTTGACAGACTGGCAACGTCCTAATCCCTTGTGCCTCAGAGTTTCCATGGTGCTGCTCATTTAAAGATATGATAGATTTGCTTCTTCAAACATGCACCTGACTTACCTCTGGTTGATTCCTCTCATGATGCTGGTTGGTGACCAAAGAGGCAGCTGGGCACCAAGAACAACACTCAGGAGAAACTGGTTTGGCTTTTGTACATCTGGGTGAGCTGAGGTGTCTGTCTGACTAAGGGTGTACAGCTGGTCACAGGCAACACGACGAATCTGAAAGTGTCATTGTCAAACATTTGAGTGTCATTGTCCAATATTTGGAAGAATTGTTCAAAAGTTCAGAAGAGTCTGTTCCATTTTATCCATATCTTCTGAGATGGAAGTTACTTGGAACTTTCCCTAAAGTACTAGTTTTAAAGCATTAGTCTCATCAAAATGAGAGTATTTTCTTTAGACTAGCCACAGCACAGTCCTGTGTGCCTCATGGATTAAACAAGCCTAAAGAATGTAACTCTTCAGCATTTCCCATCAACACAACACTAGATACTGCAATTACTGACAATTATACAAAGGCTATTCATTCAGATACAATAAAACTGTTAGAATGTTTGTAATGAACAATTTTATCTCCAGACCATACTAAATGATCAAAGTGTCCACACATTTTAGAAGTAAAATGTTTAAGAAACTTTTAGAGAAAGACCCTCACCTCAGCACTTGGTGATCCAAGTAGTATGTCTATGATGAAATCAGCAACACATGGCAAATTATAAAAAGATCCTGGAACAGAAGGGTACCAAGTTATCTTTTAAAAAATAAGTATTTCAAATAAGCCACAATCTTGCATTAGAATACCATAGCACCTAGAGGACATCATTCCATCAACACTGAAAAGCAGTAACAGAATATTTGCATATTTCCCCAGCTTTTTCCCTCACCAGAGGCTGGCACCATTTTATAACAGCATTTTCCCCTCACCTCCCACCACTGCCAGTGTTTACACTTCCTGTACACAAAGGTTCAAGTACTAAACACCAGCTATGCAAACAGCAGCACTTGGAGGATTACATACTTCAAAGCCAGTGCAAATATTTATGTTCTGGCAATAAGTCAGCTTTCCCAAAACATTTCACTAAGGCACAGCACTATGTGCCACCTGTTCTTCAGTCCTGGAAAAAAAAAACCCTGTATTTTTAAATTAAATTTTGTGGGTTTACCTTGAGCTGTTTCAGCTTAGAAAGCCACAAGTTTCTCATGATTATTTGGTACTTGTCTGTATCCAAAAGCCTTCCCCCACCTTACTTATATTTCAAATGGTGAGTAATCTGATTTTATTTCATACCTAGCTGCTGACTGCGTAGCTGAAGGCAGGTTACCAAGAGAGACAAGGCTTCTCCAGCAATCAGAGCATCTTTGGTGGACACAGACTGCTGCCTCACACAGATACCAGCATGCAGTGCAGTCGGCTCTCCTTCACTTCCTGAGCTGCAGTTACTTCCTGCATTGAGAAATGAACAAGTGCTCCAAGTCAGTACATTTTCTGCATGTTTTCAGCTTCTGGTCAGTCCTCTAGAATTCAAACAACTTCTCCAAATGCCATCTGAATGTACAGCATTTTTCTCAGATTTGTGCAATTCAATCACATAATATACTGCTTTGGAAGGGACCCAAGAGGATCATCAGGTGCAGCTGTAATGAATTCAGATTTAAGCTTCAAAAGTATTCAATTAACAATAAACCAAATGCTTTCTCTAGATTGTTCCAGAGACACAGTTAACCTACCTGAGCTGCTAAGTCTGTTTCGAACCCCAGCAGGAAATAAAGTGTTGCTCTCTTTTATTGGCTGACTACTTCCCACGAGGTCCAGTCGTCCTGCAGCAGCAGCCCAAGAGAGTCTCATGAAGCAGGCCACTGTGGAAGTGAAATCATTCACCTCCATAGTCTGAAGGAGCAAGAAACAACAGTCACTTCTGTGATATTCAACAGCTTTTCTTAGTCATAGGGATAAGAGGAATGTATCTTCTGAATCACATCAAATTGACATTTGGATTTGTTTTCCTCTCTCTTCTCTAAGGAGGTCCAAGGATACAAGAGGCTTTTTATTCCCAAGGAGAAATTAGTATCAATCCCTTATTAGGAAGCAGTTTGTTCTTAAATTCTCCACTTGGGTAGGTGCCCTTTTCATTTATCTGGAGTTAGGCATGCTGATTTCAGCCACTTGGGAAGCTCTGCCCAGGAACCTAAAACAGCACACTTGTTACAGTAGCTATGAAGTTTCTTTCAACAGGACTCAACTTTCAAAGGGGTTGAGTTCTTGTCAGATTAAATTGTTTTAGTAAATAGCTAGTCTCAGATTAATTCCACTGATATGCCTATAAGGGGGAAAAAAAATAGTATTTTCTTGAAGTATTGAAAACAAAAATATCCCATTCCCCCAGGGTACCACTGAGTAAATGTAATTCTTAATGAGCTATGTAAAACAAAAACTTGCCCAACATTTCTAATTCAAAGAAACATGGGCTGTAAGTCCCAAGCTCCAGCAGGAACCTTCTCATTTCTATTCACAGAAAATCAACAAGAATAAGGTCTTAGAGTTAATCATGACTCAAGATAAATCACAAGTAAGATTTCTGTGTAGCTCTATTTCTGGTATGCACTTTTGGAGCACTGCTTCCCTTTGTACTGCTAAAATAATTTCTGAGACTGTTAAATCAAGACCAGGAAGAGAGACTGATGGTCAGACTTTTCAGAGGCTTTTCAAAAGACCCTGAGCAAGAACCTGTATAAAAGGTAAGACTTTTTAATTAAAAATCCAGGAGTTATACAGCTGTCACTGGAGATGACCCTGCTATATCACCATAAATCATCGAACGCTTCCTTACTTGTATGGCAACTCTTGCTGCTGGAATGATTTCTTCTACCCTAATGGAGGATCTATCAGACACAGAGAGCTGTCGGTAGGATGACTTCTCAGGTGTTCCACAGATGGACATCTGCCTACTTGCTTGTCGGCTGACGTTCCGGAAGGGGCGTGAGGACAATGCTTCTACCCCATCTTTAATGAAATCCTCATCCAGTAAGGTAGGCATTGTCTGGCCAACAAGCAAGAACCTACATTCACAGAGCAAAAATGTCAGGCTTATATTTGAATGTTCACAGCAAGTGAGTGAAACAGAACTCAAAGCACCAATTAATCTTAAATATTACAAGCCAAGCAAGCAGCACTTTCTCTAATGAGAGGGAATTACATACCTTGCAAGTTGCAGGCAGATGGAGTAGACTCCCTGCCTTGTTTCATAGTCTACTTCCGATGGGATGGAATCTCTCTGCATCACATTCACCACCAAACTTAAAAACAAATCAATAAGACAGACTCTGCTTGAAAGTGTTTTATATTCAGAGAGAGCTGCAATTAATTTATCTCCATCCTTCCCTCCTCCTATTCAGTCAGCCAAGTGCCAGTTAGAACTGCCAAACTGATGTCTGTGGAGACAAACAGCCCCTTTTTCCCCTCCTACGTCCACAGAGAGCAGCTTTCTCTTCCTGCTGGAAAACGTTTCAGGAGCTATGGGGTGGGGGTTGACAGAACTATGAAGAGCAACACATACTTGATGAATCTGACATAAGCACAAGCACTATTACTGGGTCTTCCAAACCACTCACACAGTATCTGACCTCTTATCTGAAGGGTATGAATTTTGGAGATTAAAGTTTAATTTGGTTCCCACTGCACAATCTATGCTTTGGCTGCTTAAAATGTCCACTGGTATCTATTCAGGATGGAGTGCTATATACACACCTGCCAATTTGAACTGAAGCACTTAAATGCTAACTATCCAAATACCAACTACTTTAGTAAAAGCCACACTTCACAAGCCTATCTGTGTCTAGCTGTATTTTGGGGTTTAGCAGCACGTATTCTGTTACATTTCTATGGTAGCTACAGCAGCTTTTCACACACTGGATAATAAAAGCCCTCCCCATCTTTGGGTAGATATTTTATTCCCCTGAGAAAAAAGCTGACAGGTGTACTAATGTGCTGCAGTGTGGTAATCAGAAACCACACAGAACTGCTAACTAAATGAAGTGTTATAAATTGAGTCAAGATTTTGAAATCTAACCTCAAACCTCCTGCTCTGAGGAAGTTTTCACAGAAAGACTTGGCACAGTTTCTTGCCATTTCATCATCAGCAGTTGGCATCAGCTTGGAGCTCAGTACCTAAAATAAATGAATAAATAATATGCATACACCCCTCCCCCCCACCTTAGTATTCTTCATCAGCTGAAGGTCAAAAGTATAACTGGAAAATATCAACTACAGATGAAGCAATTAAAAACAGATTTATATGAAGCTATAGTCTGGAAAGAGAAGTTGCATTAAAAATGTTCAGGACAACTATGGCTACTACAGATATTTATTATGTATCAAAGGGCAGTTTTTTTTTTTTTATTTCACTGCAGTTTACTTGTTAAGGGAAAGGATAAAGGTCATACTCCAACCATGAACTGTTCTCAGGCCCAGCTGGTGCTCCTTAAGAGTCCAAATCCTCCTCCTTTCTAGATTTTCAGCTGACAGTATCCCATAAAACACCCTACAGATGGCTTACTTATTGAGTCACACCTTCTGAAACATAACTGTATTTCTTCTTTTTTTTGGTAAAAGATGGTCCAGGTAATTATTTCCATAGGCCTTATAAACATTGTCACAGTATCATCCCTCCTGTTTTAAGTCAGCACTAAACCTCACAGAATGCAATCACACTCAGAAACATGGCCACGGGGAAGTCTGTGGTCTCTGTGGGTCAGGTCTCACGTGCATTTATAACCCATTTCACTTCATTTTACATAAAGAAAAAAAAGAACACCACCCAAACAAAAAAAACCTCAGCCCCTCCCAAAGGCCCAGAAAATCCCCAGAAGTTACTTATTTTCTTGAAGTCTCTCTGGCATGTACAGCCAACAATACTGCAAGTGGAAAAACAAAATACAGCTACTCCTGGTTCACAGGTCAGGAAAATGGTTTACAGGATTCCAGGCATGAAGTCTTATTGTAACACTGTGTGATATAACCCTGAACATCTGCAATATTTAATTTTCATCTCTTCCATATGCCCTGCAAGTTTCCTGTGCACATTTTTCAGAAGGCAGTTCAGACTGGTTCCCATATTCTCAACAGATCACCATCTGAGGGGATAAAAAAAAAAGCTCATCCTTTCCCTGGCAGAAATCATCTTCCTATTAACTTGACTGGGCTTGAGGAACAAGTCCACTCACATCATCTACACATCTAATCCAATTTACTGCTTCTCATCCCTTGCCAGAAAAGCAGGCAATTTATTACTTGCTTTTATTATTTTCTGGCATAGAAGCTGCAGAGAACTGTCTCATCATACTGTAATATAACCTGCCAGTTCAACAAGGTAGCCTTGCTGGGGTATGCTAAACCATTTGCTTTCAGTTGTAGAACTTGTCAACGTATTTCAAAGACGTGGTCAAATATCTCTCATCAAAGACATCATCAAATTTCTTTCATTCCAGCTGTAGAGAAATTGGGAGATCCTAATGCTGCAGTGTGCTGACAGCGCAGGAAGAAGAGCTAACATCTGACTGCAGAAACCCAAAGGAAAGCAACAAGAAAATTCCTACAGTAATCCTAGGAAGGAAAAAGGTAACTTTGTTCACTGTTTTTGAAGCTGCTGGCAACCAGTCCTCCAACTTTGAGTTGTTCAAATCTTCTTTGTCATGAGTCCTTATAGAACTAGAAACTGTCCAGCTTCTTCAGATTGTCAGGACTCCATAATCTGCACATGACATCAGCTGACCTCTCTTATGCTCTTTTAAAATCCATGCACAGAACACTTAGAACCTTTTGCAGGGTCCAGTCCAGTGTTTTTGTTAAAGAACTTACTCAAGAGAATACTGAGAGCTAAAAAAATTGCATGTATTCCACTGACTTTACATGCACAGCTAAAACAGGCCAGAAGCTCCCAGGTAAAAGCCCTGCACATTTTGACAGTGAAAATGCTTCAGCTGAATGCTTCTTAAAAATATTCCTCCTCTGCCTCTACAGGCAGAACAGGGTAAACTTATGTAGAAGGGAAGTTAGCATTTTTCAGCTGAATGCTTCTTAAAAATATTCGTCCTCTGCCTCTACAGGCAGAATAGGGTAAACTTATGTAGAAGGGACATTAGCATTTTTTTTTTTTCTTTCAAACCAAATTAAGCAAAACCAAATCAAACTAAACAAGAGCTCCCCTGTTTTTTTAAAAGAGCCAACTTTTTTTTTTCTCTCTCTCTCATATATACTAAAAATCACATACTCAGAGTTTCTGGAGGTTCAAGTAGGAATTTCACCTAAACACTAAAGACTCTGATGTTTCTTTGCTCCTCTCCACTTAATTCAGAATACTCCTTTCACCTTGCAAATCACAAAAGAGGTGCCTGGCTTCACAGTAAAATCTCTAAAGGGGAAATTTTAACCCCTTTTGTTTTGTGTAGAAATTCTTACATACACAAAAGCTGACATTTGCATTTTGCATAATGACCTTGTCATGGTGGACATCTACCCAAGGAACACTACTAAGACTTCAGTGCTCAGAAACAGAAGTAGGAGTAAATTTGTTTTCTTACCTCTAAGTTGTAGAGCACTCTGAAGGTGGACATGCCTGGAGCAAAAGATCTGAAAAGACTTTCTAGTATTGAACTAGCACTGGGCTGATGTTGGTGTTTTGAAGACAAGGATGGCGATTTTGAAGACTGAGAACTCGATTCTGAGAGCAGTGTTTTCTAGGAGCAAGAAACCACAGGAGAAATATTTTGAGACTGCTGCATTTTGTTGCAATTGGCCATACATTTCCTATAATCCCTATAACAACCCTTTTCACCTCCAGCTAAGTCAATAATCCTTAACAGGAGTATTATTTTGAAATATTTTCAAATCCTTCACAGATAATAATCTGACAGTGAATTGAAGAAACCTGGTAGTAAAATCCTTTTTGCTAAGATCACTGAGACTAGTTACTGTTTAATCCATACCTTCCTTCCCAGGGAATCAAGCTGATCAAGAGCCTCCTGAATAGCTGGGTCAGTGGGAATCAAGAGCAGAAGCTTCCTCACTCTCAGCGTTATCCTGAAAAGTTATTAGAAGCTATTTATACAAAAAAGGGCTCAGCCCCACTGGTGGATGCCTACACACTGCCAAGTAAGGAGCTACTCAAACTTTGCAGTGTGAGCATTTCTTCAATATTTAATCATCATTTAGTTTCCTTACCTTGGCTCTTCTAGATTGGCAAGCTGGTAAAGCATATCAAACACATTACACACGAGAGCCATGACTACTCCAGGGAGAGATTTCTCCTGAGAATTAAACAGAAATATAAAAGTCTTTTTCTTCCCTTTCTGTTCCAGTTAAATGAAGAGAGTCCTCCTCACTGAAATACTGAAGCAACTACCTGGCCCACAGAAATCCCAGCTCTTTCTAGACAGACAACATCTGAATTTTTACATTACCCCATTTCCCTTTTAAGAATCAATTTTTGAAGTACACAAAGCAGACCAGGAGTGGGTTGAACACACTAGTTGATGCTTCTGAGTTATATTCTCTACTGCAGCTTGATTAAGAGTGGGGCTCTCCCCCCCCCCAATGACAAATACACCATCTCAAAATTAAATCATACGAGTCTTGTTTGTTTAAAAGACCCTGTAGAGATTAACAAACAACCAGCAGGCTACAAGAGGTGACAGGATACAGATTATCAAGTCCAATCTGCATGCATAAGGAGACTGTATATTTAAATGTTTTGTTTCAATTGTAGTTTGAAAGCAAAATCAGCCTACTAAAGACTGGACACTCAAGCTGACGTGAACAGCTTCCATCTCATCTTTCTGTACTCTTCCACCCCAGCTGTGTCTCCCCCAACTATCCCCCCTCCAGGAAAAATGTGAGGGGAGGTTTCAGGCTATTATGCTGTACCTGTTCCATTGCATAGGATGAACTAAATACACTGCTGCTGTTGCTGGAACTGGTTGAGGAATCTGCAGAGCTCCCTGATGGAGTCCCACTTCCTGATGTTTTTACTGTAAGGACTTGTTCGTCAGAGAAGCCCAACTGGTGGAGTAGTTTCTGATCTTTGTTTACAGTTAGCTGCAAGGAAATACTTATCATTTAGCTCAGGAAAAGAGACTGTATTTCACAAAGAATAAGAAGTTGTTGTAGTTAACATACCAGGCTGTCATTGGCAAATATTTGTATATTATCCACGGGTGAATTCAACATCTTTGCTATCTTCCACCTGACACTCCCTACAGTTTCGTTGCTATGAGCCTGTAGAATTAAACAACAGTGCTTCATTAGTCTGCTCAAAAGCAAAAAGCTTCTGTTAGCATCTTCCTGCTCCACTGCATAGAGTGGTAAAGGTGTTGGCCACAAAGAGACTGACAGGGTAAGACAGCAGTAGAAATGTTCCATCCCTGATAGTAATCAAATAACTTTTTTCCCCACCCTGGACTGATAATCAAAACACATTTAGTCTACAGACACTTCCACTGCAGTAGACTTAAAACACATTTCTAACATTTTCAAATAGAGTTTTCAAGCTGACTGGAGTCCTTAAAACCAGCTTACTACTCTGTTCAGTTCAGGCATCCAAACAAGAGTAGCAGCCACAACACCTCATGCCACGTGCAACCTGTGCACACATACCTCTATGGTGAAGGTATCTTTGGTAGACTCGTAGGTAACATTAAGAGTTAAAAGATGTCCATGGAAAGAGGCACCGTGAGGTAGAATGGTTCGGGGAACAGAGTAAAGGTCCTACAGGAAGAGAATGATGACAGTGAAGATCACCCCTGAAAGCAAAGACTTTTCTATGATGGTATGTACCAAAGTTGCTAGACTTGCAGAGGTTTAAATACATTTCTCTATTTTTAATAATACTGGAAGTTGTGTTCTTAGCCTTGCCTAGTAGGAGCTGACATATCTTACCTCTATTGTTATCACATAACGCTCTGCCAACAGCAGCAGCCTCTCAATTATTACAAGTTTAGTTGACCTAGAGATAAACATTAAAAACAAGAGTAACTTGTCTTGAAGATTAATTTTCCAGTGCCCCAGGGTAACTACCATGAATTAGCTGTTTTCAAATATAGTTTCAACTGAATTAATTCCATGCTTAAGGTGTCAACTAGGAAAACAAGCCAAGAAGCTTGCGTTACACTGAGATGTAGACAGCTTCAGAAGAAGCTTCATGTTTTTAAAGGTCCCACTCTGCACTCATATATTTAAGCTACACACATTTAGGAATGCAGAAGTGAAGCTAAAAGATGAAAACCCATCCTTTTCTCTCCTAACTAAAAAACCCAACAAACCAAAATCCAACCCCACTGCCCCAGAAATATTACATGACTCATAGGCTGCCAATAATCTGCAGGGATTTTTTGTGTTTCTTTTTTTTTTTGTGTTGTTGATTGGTTTTGGTTTTTTGGGCAGTCAGAGAGGCAGGTGTTGGGGTTTTATTTGTTTGTTTTTAAAAACCCATATTTTTCAGCCTCTTTGGAACTCAAATTGCATTGTAGTTGGAACACCCAATTGAAAAACCACCAGAATATACAACCACCAATACTGAGAATTTTAATTAGCACTCAAAATTCATGTGGAAAGCAGCTGGGAGCAAACACCTACTGTCATGTTTACTCTTTTAAAGGCAGGCCTACCTGTAAGGAGACTGAACTGATGTTGCTACTGTAGGCATAGCAGTTGCTGTAAGCATTTTTGTAGCTCTTGTAACAGCATGTGTTAATGTTGGACCACCAAGTGCAGAGCTGGCTGCCTGGAATACAAAGCAGAGTTTAAGGGCTGGTTTACTTGGACAGTTTGTATGTCCTGGAAAGCTAACAGGACAAGAAATGTTGTGGAAACAATTTTTTTTATTTAAATAGAATTATCATAGTCAATTATTTTAAGATACAAAACTAAAAAAGGATGTAGGTACAAGAACAAAATTTGTGCTTTACCTCTAATCGTGTGTAGCAATCTGCAATGAATTTCTTGTGCAGGGATACTGAATCCTAAAGATAAAATGCACAAAGTCAGTTAAGACTTTATGGGAATTACTCAAACTGCCAGAGCCCAACAAATCACCCATTTTAACATGCAGATTATCAAGACTATGGATGTCAAAGCACTTCCATGCCCACCTTTTTCAATCTAGGAGTTAGGTTAATATAGCTGTAATTTATTATCAATTGTATGGCTTCATTGGCAATTTCCTCATCAGGTGACTCCATTGCAATCTTCCAAATGAAATCCATTCCTATTAATTCCAGTTTTTCTACACTCTATGCAAGAAAGAACAGAACAACAGCAAAACATGACTGATTTCTTATACAATAGTTAAACCACAGGAACAAACCAGTCTTATATCTGCTGGGAAAAACATCTTTTGACTGAATTTAAAAATTTGCTTTTCCAACATGCTGCCATGCACAGTACAAATACAAAATGAAATCAATAGCTCTGGATTTGTATACTTATACTAGAAAAAGACCCAATTGTTTACAGGTGGATAAACAAGTTCCAAAGAACACTCTCAATCAAGCCAACTGAAAAATTGAAAACTTCAAAAGCATGGAGAAATTTAATGGGGGATGGAATCTGCTGCACAAAGTTCAACATGGTAACTAACCACATAATAAATCACCACAAAACCTACTGTGATACTTGGCAAAAAAATTATGCATTTGAAGTAAATTAACTCTCCATGATAAAGATCTAAACTGCTTACAGAAAACTACTTAACATATAACCATTAATTTAACAAAAACACTGAAAGATCATAGAGGTAAAAATAATTGTAGGTTAGAATTTGACTATGATAAGCTTAAATCTCCTGTAAAGAAGAAGAAAAAAAACAAACCCAAACTGCAGAAAGAAATTTCCCTGCTAAGGAGAAGCAAAAGTGCACTCTAAAATTCATGTTTGTTAATAAAAAAAGTAGTCCCTTTGTTCCTTCTGCCAAGTTTTAGAAGCAACATGGAAGCTTACAGCTACAAATTGCTGAGTTTTAACTGTTTTAAATCTGGACTTTCAGCTTCAGAATTGAACAATGTTAATGCTAGAAGGATGATCTGCATATTAATACAAACAGGATCATGCAAACAGCTGCTAAATAATCCCTGTCTCATCTCCTCCTCCCACCCCCAAGATGCCACAGGTACTGTATGAGAAATAACTTGTCAGAACACTCACCAATTGAGTTCCCTGCCTCTTCAGTCGATGGTCACATAGGTTCACATTTTCAAAGAAAGTCTTAAATAAACTAAAACCTGAAAGTGGAAAAAAAAAGAAGGCTTTTTATTCAGGTCAGGCTATGTTTCTGTGCTTTTTTGAAAAAAAATGAAGATATCAAATACAGGGAGATGACTTTTTCCCCTCTACAACTATTAAAACTCAGAACTATAGAAAAAGACCCCTTCATTATATTATTTACATAACTGCTTGCATATTTAATCTGAACATTTAGGAAGCAAGCTTCTGTTACATATTTCAAAATTAAATCTTTAGATTTCAAAGCCATTTTCTTACCATTCATAGTAATTTCATATGACTCCAGTTTAAGAATTTTCTCTTTGAAGAGCTGTTGCTGTACATCACTCTCTAGATCATGCTGTCCTTTTGTGAACCACTCAAAGCACATCTGTGAAGGAAAGGTGGGTATATTTTTGTCATGGTAAATATTTTAGTTCCATATAGCATTGGCAAACTACATCAGATACTACAGTAACTCATCTTACAGAAGTTTCATCTACAGCTAGAGGTTCCAAGTCTCAACTCCTAATAACTCACGTATTATATAGGGTGCATTGCAGTATTAGGCTACTTCATCTTCAGAGGCACCTTTCAGCCAAATAATGCTGAAGGCCTTTTTTATGACCCCACAGACTTGCACAAACTAGCATCTGTAAACCTGCAACTCATCTCCTGGCCAACATTCCTCCTCCAATCAAATTTAACGTTAAAAGAGCATCCTAGTCATAAGCAAACATGTAACAGTGGCTCCACTAGCTTACATAAACATAAATGCATTATTAGTTTGTGTTTGCTACTTATGTTTCCCAAGTCCCAACAAATACACGTGCTGTTTGTGATGCATTAAGATTCACTCTGCAGCCCCAGACACCAGCTTTTCCAGTTCTTCTTACCTCTCGATCTAACTCACAAACATCCTGGCCGGTTACAAGGCATTCCCAGATCTCCCGGGCACGATTCCAGCCCAAATAAAGGGTGGCTTCTTGCAGAAAAAATGCCAAAAATTTTAGATGTGCCTCCAAATACTGAGAAAGAGGAAACAAAAAACTCAAGCTTAAGACTTTGCTTTCTGAAACTAGAACCCTAAGCACTATAGTTTTTGAAAACTTAGTTGTCAAATAACAGTACACTTTGCAAAGCCTGGAAAACAGAAGTTGTTTCTGCAGTGAGATTTATTTCTATTTTACACAATTTTTAACACTACTTTTTTTTTTTTTGAGTACCTTTCTAAAAAGGAACATAGAATTCCTCTTGGAATCGCTATTACTTTCCAGACACCAGTATTATTTGACACTAGTTACTAATTCACAACTAGTATGGAAAAAATAATTATCAAAACCTTAGCAACAAACTGTTACCAGCTATTTGCAGCTCCATCTCCTAATTAGAAAACCTGTTTCAGGTTTCAAGAGCTTCACACCAAATTCAAGGGTATAGTCTCTGCCAGGTAGCTGAACTGAAGCTGATGGAGAAACTGGAAGATGCACAAGCTTGGAGACAGGCAGATCTATCTCTTGATCAGTGAGAGACTTGGCTAAGAAACTTGTAGATTGTGACAGTTGCCCACCCTTGTAAAAACTAAGGTAATAAGAAATTCAGGGCTCAGTACCTCCCGGTAAGTGTATCTGCCATCCACTAAGGTTGCTCCAACGAGCCCTCCTGGGCCTGCCACAGATGCAGCCAAACGGTGGCATGATATTAAGCTTCCTGTCACCAGCTTCACTATTTCAAAGTTTTTCTTTAAATCTTGAATAATGCTCTTGGTAACAAAAATAAAGGGGGGGAGAGAAGAGAGGTTTTTAAGAAAATTCATGAATGGGCACATGCACACAGCAATCTGCTCTTCTATGGAGATGTGTCTCCTATCAGGAGGAGGAATTTTCCCCCCTCACCAGTGAGCTGGATCCCTTCCAAGCACCCAAACCCCCTGATGTTAGTGTTTCCAGCACGTGTGGAACTCCATGTGCTGCAGGTTGCAAACAAAGTCCCACACCTCCATTCAGCCACTGTGTAACGCACGTGACTTGCTGGTATTTTAGGCTGTTTTCCAAGAGTCAATGTCAATTCAATTACTAAGCAGCTGGTCTAAACATTAGCCATTGTTCATTTCTTTAACAGAGACATGCCTGTTAATTATTCTACAAAAAGCTGAGAATAAAATAAACAAACCCTGATACAGCAAACAGATTTACACATCTATATAAACACACACACACAAATGGACACCAGGCAACGCAGCATCTCTACTTGAACAGTGTTTTTATGCTACCTCACTGAACTGTACTTGTCAAAGTGTTTTTTAGTTAGTTTTGCTGCTTTCCCCCCCTTCTAAAATCATGCTTCCATTTTCTACAGAAGCAGAGCCACACAGACATGACAAGGCCTTCAAAGACCATCTCAGCATATATCCTTACCTTGTCTTGCTTTTGGTAAGTTTGCTTAATGAATGAACGTGTGATTTCATGGAGCTGACGTAAGGCTGGCACCACCCACACAAACTGAGGATTATTGTGCTGGGACGACTGGTAGTAGGAAAGGTAAAAACAATTACACATGTGTACATGCTCAACAACAGATTTAACTTTCCTCTTAGATTCCTAGAAGCCTGACAATTTCTATTAATGCTGCTGTTTCAAAGCAGCTACTAGCTCTGAAGGCTTCAGTTACTTGTCCTGGTCCCTTTCCAAACACACTCAAGGTGTCCTTCGCTTTCTACAAGAAGTCCTTTGACACACACACCATTCTGCTATGCTTATTATTAAGCCCAAAGTACCACCTCCTTGCTAGAGAGCATGCAAATTAAGTAGACAAAAAGGACTCAGTTGCACCAGGGAGAGAAGATAACCACCACCTTCCTCAATTATGGGAGAAGAAGCAGGCCTGTTAGGGCATAAAAGGGCAAATCCATCAAATGATGTTACTTAACTGCTAAAGCAAGAATAACAGAAGAAAGAACCTGCAATGCTACTGAGGGTTAAGAGACAAGAAGTTTCTGATTGGTGCTGCAAGAAGCCCTCTGATAGGAAGCAAAGGATACTTAAGCTGCATTTTGAAAGAGATCCTACAAAGTATAACCCTCCTACCTCATTGTTAGAACTGCTCATCACTTTTCTGGGAGGCTTCATTTTCTGTAAAGTTTGACCACACAAACCAGTACTGAGGTTGCTTGTTCAGAGAAGTGATGTCTGGTTTAAATACTGACAAAAACCAATGCCACCTACATGCTTACAGAGATTAAAGTAACCTGCCCACAACAGAGAGCTCGTTACTGAAGACTCCCTCAAGTACTTGAGAATGCTGCCTTAACATTACATCCCTCCCAGTTTCTCTCCATTTCCCCTAATGAAGGGAAATTAAAAAATGATGTACTTTTAGAAGTCTGCTGTATGGTTACCCCAATCCCTTCTAGCCCACAGCTAGAATTACAGCTGTTAGTGTTTCCCACTGCAGCACCTCTGTAAAGGCCCTTGCCAGAATGTAATTAAAAAGAACAGGAAAGCACAAGGGAAGATCCAAAAGAAAAAACTGCGAGTTTTTCAGACATTGAGAACCCAAAGTTTGAAATCCGTGTTCATAACCACACGCAGAAAAAGGTGTGACCAATATCAAGAAGCAAGATACTGTACCTCCTAACCAACTAAAACTATCTACAGATGCTGCAACACAGATAAAACCTAATCTACCATGAAGAAAACAAAAAAAAGTACAAGTTTTTTTATTTAGAGCATACTTCAAACTGAAAAAAACCAAACCAAAACAAAAAAAGACAGGAGCACTCCTGCAGATCTGAAGACAAACTGCCTGCTATGTGAACAGTGCAGGACAGAATCTATCTACTCATGCACATTACTGCTGCTGCCAGCAAACATCTCAGCACAGGCAGCTGCAGCAATGGCTTAGATGAAAAGAGTTAAGTATTTTATTAAAATACAAATTTAAATATCAATTTGCATTTTGAGACTTAATGGTCATGCCAAAACACATGCTTAACTCAAAAGAAACTAATCTAGGCTTTCACATGAAAGGGACAGTTAAAATACTGACATACCTTTATAGTGGTTCCATTTGCAAATTCTAACCTTGGGCCCATCCTGGTAGTTTCCCATAAACTGATCACTCCTTGTGCTGAAAATTTGCTTAAAACAAAGGCAAGAGACTTACTATGAGTCTCAAGGTCAACAAACTGGCTCACACAAAGCCTACCCCTCTCATGGACTCCCCAAGGTAAGAACTTACAGATGGGACACAATTTGTGCATCTTGAAAGAAAAGGCAACATCAATGCTAGCTAATGTTTCAGTTTGGAAAAGATAAAATTAATAAACCAACCCTCTTAATATCCTCTATGCATTTGATGATGTAGCTTCTTTTGATTGCCTCTTTCACTGCATAGGCATCACTGAGGATTGTCAGATGTTCCTCCAAGGCCTGCTGGATAAGACTACACGGTAACGTTGGAAGGTGAGCCAGTTCCCAAAGCACCTCCAGAACCTAGAGGAAGAAGAGAAGGAGTAATCAGGATCTAGGAAGTAGAGAGGTTAACAAACCTATGTTTAATAAAGATAATGGCCAAACTGAAAACATTCACATGCCTTTCCAGTGGTTGTCTCCACTCGTGCCTCTCGACCAATGCGCCCTATCAGGCTCAATAGCTTCTGTCTCACTCTATCACTTTCTGTCTCCCAGCTCTGCACAGGAAAGAAATCACATTCACTACTAAAGCACTATCAGTCTTAAGTCTCAATTGTACAGAAAAATACAATTTACAGTTGTTTTACTGCAGGAAAAATCAGAATACAAACAAGCATGTTTCCACCACGTGTACTTCCTTATATTACTGGAGTTATATTATTAATTCGTACAACTCTTATTCAAGCAAACTATAGGAGATGTAACATTAAATGTAATATTAATATGAAATATAAATGTAATATTTAAAATCTCACTTTAAGTGCCTTAGCACTGGCTGTATAATGTACTTCAAATCTAAGTCAATTAGCAATACAGTAGCAGACCAGGCCTTTGGGCTACCAAAAGTTAGTATATCCAATTTTATATTTATATAGAAAATATAAATGTATTCAAAGTATTTGCCTCTGGGTAGGCTGGATGCACCATACGTCTCATCAATCCTCTTCCTAAGGAATATAAATTCATGTGAAAACTTACCTTTTGGATTAGAACAAATAAATGATTGAGCTGATCAGAGCTAAACTTCACAGCAGCTGCAGCAATAATGGTATGTATGTTTTCAATCACAGTAGAAGATTGTCCTGACTGAAAGGAGGAAGGAGAACAGGAGGACATAGTTCTTTATCTCAAACAAAACAGCAAAAATCTTCATGTAAGCATTATCCTACTATTCATACTAATGAGAAAGAGTAACAGCTTTTGGCATGTTAGAAACACAAGGTACAAATAACTGTCTACAATTCTCTTTCCACTGGCAGAGAGGTCTTTGGGGCTATTGCTAGAACAGGAAAGTTAGTCTGTCACCATTACAGCAGCTTCCAAGTGCTGCAGTGCCACATACCACTGTAAGGTGCCGTGCCAGCATCACAAACATCACCATTTTTATTGCCTGGTTAAGTTCATGTGTGAGGTGCTCCAAGCCTGCTGCTCCTTAAGGCTTTACTCAAAAGCCAGCGATATAAAATCTCCTCCCACACTGATGGGAGCACCATGGTAACAACAACCAGAAGGGGGAAGGAAGTATTACATTGTTATTAAAGAGTAAAAGTGAGTGAGCTAGAGTCATACTTCAGCTCTCCTAAGCATGCAAGACTTGCTACCATGCCTGCACATACTGTGGATCTGGCAACAGCCAAAGAGTTTCACCTAAAACTTAACATATGGACAAAGAAAACCATTTCCTGCAGCAGAAGATTACATTTCTGGTCAAAACTTTCACGTGTCATTTGTGTTAAGGAGTCAAACCACCTTTCCTACACAGTGATCAGCTGAATATACATAAAGTGAATGTGAAAAGCTGACTTGTCAGTCAATTATATGTACATACAGGAAGTTAAACAGGCACTCACACAGTTTGAGCTCACTCTCTTTCAAGTCACACTGTGAGCTGCTTTCAAATTTACACCTCCAGCCATGAAAATGAATATCCTTAGGCACGGTCTTTGGTCTAGACAAACACTCCATCAGCTATTGCAGGCTGACAACCTCTTATTCCAAGTCAAATATTTTTGCAAGCCCCTTAACAGTTGTTGCAAAGAACAGAACTTCAACATAAGATTTAACAGCTGTGTCACATGAAATTACCAGAACACTTGATTTTTTAAATGGTAAAGGAAGAAGCAGAAGACAGACTTGCATTAATTATACTGTTAAAATCTTAACACCTCCACTTTGCAATAGAGAGATGCATATATTATAAACCAAAAAAAACCACCACTAGAATGTCTGCTTTTTTAAGACAGTCTAAAAGTACCTGATTTAGCTGCTTACCTGAATTCTCCAAATTTTAGTGAGCTCATCTAAAGATAGTTTACTGCCCAGCAGTTCAATAATTCCCTTTATACGATCACAGTATTGTGCCTGGTCTATGTTACCTATAAAACAAAGAAAGGCTCCTAAATTAAGATGATTTAAATAGTATTAGATACATTAAATGCGTAAGAATAATCAAGTTCTTTTTAAAGGGAGAAGAAGAATGTTATCTTTATTTGAAAATTTTTTCTTTGCTGTTACACACAAATCTATCAGTTCAAAGAAAAAGAAAAGGCTCCTCCTATTTTTATTTAGTTTTATTTCATATATCTGATATCAGTTCACACCTGTAGAAAAGAGCTGTTTGGAAAAAAAAAAAACCAAAACAAAAACAAAACCTCTTTTCTCTCTTTTCTAGGGGCTTAAATATAAAAATCCCAGGTACAGCAGAAGCTATCTGCACAGGTGTCAAGCAGAGGACTAGGTGATAGTAGCAGAAAGTGCAGGATTTTCCTTACTCTATTTTGAGGACAACAAAGCCCTTGAACTCCTTTGTTAATCATGTTCCATTAAACTTTATCAAAAGGGATGGAGGAAAGAAGGCTTTGAGAAAGTGCTTACCTTCTAGAGCAATGGACAGGACAGAATTTTCTACCAGCCAGTTTAGCAGTCGGTCTGTATCTATTGCATTCTTCACTGACTTGGATACAGTGCTGTCTTCTATTAATTTTGTGACCTAAAAATTGCAAAATGTGAGATTCTAACAATGATTCCCACATGCATCATACACACACACACAATGAAATCCATTCAAAAAGCTTACTGCAAAGCTTAAGTGTGAATCCTGAAATATTGCTTTTCGTTTGTGGTTGGTTTTGGAGGGTTTTGTTGCTGCTGTTTTGTTTGGGTTTGTAGTTTGTTTTGTGGGTTTTGTTTGCTTTGGTTTTGGTTTTTAAGAAGCTGTTGAAAGGCAGCTCCTAACCAGAAACACCTCCTTGCCATCAGTCTCTGACGCAGTACACTCTTACACACAGTGTCACACAGAAAAGCTGGCCTGTGCTGCCTGGTCTATTTCTACAGACACAGCAGAAGTAGGTTATCTCAGGCTGCTGTTTGCCACACTCAAATCACTGTCCTATTTTCTATCCAATACAGAACCGATACAGGCTCCTCATTCTAGGGAGAAAGAGCAAATTTCTGCTAAAGCCTTCAAAACCTGCACTTTTATAAATCCACCCAGGATATGAGGCACTTATAAGTAAGAACCAAACAGCAGCAATGTTTAACATCTCAATTTTCCCACAAATAAAGAAGCAAAAAGTGCAAAAGAGTGATTCCAACACCTTGCAGTATCTGCATATTAAAAAAATGCCCCTTTTTTTGGACACTGAAGTTGTACAAGTTCTGGAAGGAAGAGATGAACGAACAGCTCTATTAACTGCCAATTCCCATAAAAAATAAACTGTTCTCTTTTACTTACACAGAAGATGCAAGCACAAAGAGCCCTGGTCCATAAACTCCAGCTCCTAGGTGCTACTACACTGTGCACTTACAACCACAATTAAAAAAAAAAAAAGTGTGATGACCTGATATAACTGGACTGAGACACCACAGTCTAGCAGTGCTCTCAACCAAGTCCTGTTTGTTTTTTTCCCCCACTTTTTCTCTCAATGAGGGGAAAGGAAAGGGATATCTCCTAGAATGCTCTGAATGATGATGGATATTGCAGAGTGGGTATTCAATGGATAGCATAAATCACTGCTTAGAAATCAGTCTGACATGGCACTCCTTAAAAGGTTCAAACAATGTCTAGTTTGTTTTCTAATTGTTAAATCAATACAACAAACAACTCCTGTTACAATAACTTGTTTCAGTATTTGTTATGAACTAAGCTTTTGCTAAGGCAACCTAATTTGTCAGGAAATGTTGCCCCAGCACTTTAAGGTTGTGGTTTCCATGACTTGTTAACAAGTCCACCCCACCTACTCACACGCACACGTGTGGGGGGACACAGACACAAAAAGCAAACCTACCTCTTTGAGGGAATTCATTTTTGCACTGAAGTGAGGAGATTTTAACATGCGCAGCAGAATGTCCAGCCTTAAATCATCTACTGCAGTCACCAAGTCAGGCTGGAAGCGCATACACAGCAGTTTGATACCAGACAAGAGCTCAGGGATACTGACTAGTCTCTGTTTAAAACAAAAACAGGACGAACAGAAACAAGTGTAGGTTTAGTGACCCAATACAGACTGTTTTAATCTACAAAATGCAGTACCATGTACACTGGAAAATATTACTTGTACATAAGATGTGTTAAGACAACGAAACCTTTGGTTAAAGTGGACTCCCTTGCTACAGATTTGGCACACTATCTTGTTCCTCTGTAGCTACACATCATACACATTCTTTGCAATTTACAATTGGCAATTTAAGGGTGAGTAAAAAGTCAACACTCAAATATTTTACAGAACTGAACCCCAAATTCAGGGTAAAACAGGAAGTAGTCACAAGTTACATGGACATTTTTTATCAACAGTTACCAAATTCTCAGAAGCAAACAGCTAATACAACAGTCCTATGCACACAGGTTATAAGAATTTAACAGACTGCAAGACTAATATTCAAGTCAGCCAGAGTGAGCATTCAGCACACTGCAGAAGGTGACCAACAAAAATGTGTTTGATAGCAACAGCAGCAAAATATCTTAAAAAGGGTCATAACATCAGATAGCTCCTGAAAAGGGTATTGAATAGATATGGGTGAACAGATTTTGTTCTGTCATTCAGTCAGAATTCAAAACAGGCTATAGAATTTTTCCAGTGTAAATACAGCTATTGTTCAAGTCTGCATTGCCAGCATTTCCATGGCACACATTAAGTTCTTCCTAAATATTTAATATATAAAACATTACCTTGTCTTTCAAGTCCTTCTCTTCTACATTCTGTACATATTTAATCATTTTATGAATGACTGGATCCAGCATGGGCTAAAGAAAGTGAGAAAAGGCATGACAATCATTTTATGTTTCTTGAAAGCAATTACGTTATTCAGAAGATCTGGCTGCAACAAAATTAAATACTTAGCTGAAAGCTCACGATTACCTTAGACAGAAAACAACACCTACAACATACATAACACTATTCTGCTAGGTAGGACCAGAAAAGGAAGGAGTTGGAGTAAGAAGCCACCTTAACACAGGTTTGTAAAAAAGAGGCTGACCGACTGTTCACAATTTATCAGTTATTAGGTGCATGTGTCTTTCTGCCTCCCAGTGGCATCTAAACTACCTCCTCCTCAAATCAAGACTTCCAGTCCATTATTAAGTTGAGGGATTTTGTGAGTGCCAGTGTGAAGTCTGGAGCACACTTCCATGCATGAACATATGGTGAATTTTTTTTTCCTGTACTACAGTTTTTCCAGTGTAAACTCTCATATCCACATCCCTGTTATCAGTCAGAAAATTAAGCTAAAAACAAAGTCCATCCATCAGGCTAGATTCTTTTCCCACATGCTTCACACTGATGAACTTTACTAATGGCAGCAGAAAAGCTTCTTGCTGTTGAAGATGTAGATACATGACTACAGATTACTGTGCTTAGAAAACGCATCTGAATGCTGTCTGAGCTCTCTATCCATCACCCTCAGGATGCTCAGAAAGCTTCTTTATGCAATGTGGTTTTTGAAGGCTGTTCTAATTAATCACCAGTTTCACACCAACAGTTGTGAACTAGGTTTTAGTCCTCTGGTAGCTCATAAGAAAGGCTTTTTACCTGTACTACAGAAGAGTTCAGGTATTCTGCACAAACTCCAAATGGCTGAACTAATGCAGAGATTGCCTGAAAGAAATACAGCAAGTATTCAGGTGCACATATAGGAGATCTTTTCAGACCTAGTGATCTATACCTTAAAAGGCAAAGGAAGGTAAGTATTATATATTTATCTCATATAATAATTCCAGGCATTTGCTACAGAATTATTTTGGTGTGCAAGTCCTTGACAACAACACATGGTTCAAGAAAGAGATTCACTCTATGGCCTACATATGGATTACGTATGCATTATGGATTTTTGCCTGACATAAACACCACCTTCCCAGTTTTCACTGATCTTTGTCCTCTCATAATTCTATTCAGTCTTCTCTGTCCAGTCTTGTTTCAGTCAAATGGACAAAAAGGGACACACCACATTTTGGTTGCTCCCTACAGCAATAACAAGTGTGAATGCAAGACTTAAGGTTAAAGTCATATGTCAAATTTCTTCCCCAGTGCATTAAAAGCAGGAGAAAGCTTTTGTAAACGTGTCATATGCACATCGAGATCCCTTCAATCCATGATTTTCAAGCAATATCTGTCATCAAGAAATGAAACTTATACAGGCATTTGCTTGCCAATAAATAATATCAAAACTGGATCAAGAATTGTGAAATCCAGCATGCATCAAGGGCCTAAATTAATTGACATTGACCCAAGCTTCCTTACTAAGCAAGCAGTTATTAATCATTAAACAAAGTCAAAGTTGATCAGGATTTAAAACAAGTTTCTTTACTCTTCTGTTATGCTCACAAATGAACTTCTCTTTATAAAGCAATAGCAATACTCCAAGTAAAGCAGCTGAATTATCTCCAAAAGGCATTTCACTAGAGAGCAGACTGATTTTATACTGGGGACAAGATCCTAAATGACATCGTTTACCTTTAGCCTCCTTGTTCCTCAAAGCTTGAAAGACTCTGAAGTTTCCAAATACAGGTTAACAAGCTAACACTAAAAAAGTCAGGCTGTGTCACTAAAGATAGTTTAGTGCTGTTGAACCAGCCAGTTTTTAGACTCAGCTCTTGAAAAATTGCTTAGGATTAGACCATGTCTGAATTCCTAAGGATTTTTTTCCTTAAACAAGTTCTATCTTAAGTGACAGAAGTCAATTCTCTTGCAGCTAAATGCAGCTACAGCTGAGGAAAACAGGAAACCAGGGAACACACAGTGAAATAGCTTGACTGATGTCTAACTGGAAGGCTGAATGACAGCCAGAAAGGTACACTGACCCTTCCCCTCTTTTGTGTGATGCCTCAAAAGCTCTTTAGTCAGGATTCTTACGCACAACCTCATTTGACCTCCAGCCTGACAGCACTTCTCCAGAGCTCTGTGGGGGTGTTGTTCTGATAGCAAGGCACAAGTAAGAGCACTGTGCATCGTGGAAAGGGAGAAGTCTTGTGTTTGAAGATGAACTTACCCCAAGTTCAATATCTTCTGAATTGAGTTTGGACTGAATTGCTGAAAATCCACCCAACTCTGCAAACTGAAATAAAAAGAATCAGTATTATGTTAGTGGACTACAGTATTTTATCTTTTATATGAGCTACTACAGAAAATATTTTAATGACAGTTCCTGGTATGCCAAGAGGTATCCTTTACCAAGGAATATCACATTCAACAGCAGCTTTATGTTTTCACAGCAATTTAGGGGCACACTGGGGAACACAATGCGATTATACCCAGGACCAGTTTAAAGATCAAGCTAAAAACTCTGTCTTGGGTAAAAATGTACAGGGACAGAAGGATAGACCACATATAGGAATAGCTGACTTGCCTGGCATGTTTGACTGGGAAACACTACTGCAGCCTAAGCTGGGCTCTTGACTTCCTCTAGTCATAGCTACCATGTTAGGGTAACAGCTGCTCAAGGGAGAAAGGCAGCAACTCAGTAAGTTGCACCTTCCCTATATGTAGGCACAATTAAAATTTTAAATGTTTTTTGCAATTGTCAGAAAAGTGAAGAGTGGAAAAGCACATCACAAGGGAGAAGAAAACTATTTCTAAAGACCAATGAATTCAAGTGACAAATGAGCAGTTGTGCTTGGTTTACATTTACTTACCCTGTTTACCAGATCCACCAGCCACCCATGAGGTTCCTTGAACAATTAAAACATTAAAAAATCAGTAGCTGCAACATCAATGCTAAACATTTGTCTTCTGCAACAGAGATTTGGACAGACACTCAGCCCATAAACTCACCCCTCAAACGTATGCACTATTATTTAAAAGAAAACAGCAATGTGTTTGTACCAGCTCCTTTACTGAGCACGTAGCTGGAGCTCTGGTTGGTTCTCATTGGCATCATCCTTTTTTGGACTCTGCTTGACATCACTGACCATGTGCTGTAGCAATGGTACGTACTGTGGATGCTGACTCACAGGCAACTATATTTATAGCACATTAGTGGTGTGGAACTTTACTGAAGAACCTTTCCCAAAGCAGCAGATGTAGAATTTTCTTTCTACGGCTACAAACTTGTTTTCAGAAGGAGAGATCAACCCTACTCATGCTTTTTTAGTCCCACCCATGTGGAACAACTTTGACAAGACAATGCAAACCTTAAAAACTGCCCCCTTGCTAGTGTGTCTGACTTCAGGACATCCTTCCCTCAGCTGTCAGGCAAGCCTGAATCTCTGCTAGAATTGTTACACTTAGGAGTTATCCTGGTCATTTCACACTCAGTCAAACACATGTCAGTCCTTAGATACAACAGATCTATGCATCTGATTGTTGTGCTACTTTTAGACATGAAAGTACACCAACTTCTAAATCCAGCTTGTAGTAGACAACTGGGACAATTTGAGAGGACCAATTCATTTCTACAGACCAACATACACTGAGGACCTATATGCTGTAATTCTTGATGACACATTTTAAGCTTTCTTGTGTTATAAATACCTACTAATCAAACAATCTTTTCTGAAACAAACATCTTTCTTAAAAATAGGTTTTAAGGGCATGGCCATGCTCACCTTCTGAAAAGTGGATATGGGTGAGACAGCGTGCATGTTCCCCTCCCCGAAGACTTCTGCCCAGTTTCTCTGGCACACCTTCATTCGATTCTTGAAATGATATTCATTGTCAGGGTTAAATGCCTTGAAAGAAAAGCCCATGGCAGTGAACAACATGGCTTATGCCAGTCTCAAAACTTATCTTGATAATATTTGACTTTTTCAGTTGAGCGTTCTCCTCATTGACAAGGATCTAGCAAAAAATAAAGCTTAACAGAAGACCCCTGCTCCTGCCTCTGAGTTCTCACTGTATGAAGCATTTGAAGCTTCCATTCTTTATAGACAACATCCAATACTCACGTGAGCCAGACAGCTGTAAAATAGAGAGATGAACTCAAAGTACCAGTTTAAAAATAAAAAAAACAGTGAAGTCACAGCAGATGTGATTTTTTTTTTTTGAGAGCACTGGATTTCAGAAGTCTTAAACAGATTCATCCCTTTATGAATTGTATACTGGATATTAAAATTCTCCAGCAAGCACCCACTGCAGTTTTTAAGACAATAACACTACAACTAAAATAATTAGAAAAAGTATCAGCAGCATAAATATGAAATGCTGAAGAGCCAAATACTAGAAACTGAATGAGAGAGTCAAATACCATCGTAAGCACACCGAGCAGGCCCACAGGAATAGGATCTTGTTTTACTCTTTCTGCAACCAGGTCCACTAGCAGCATAAGCATGTTGTATATTCCTTCATGGATTTCAGTTCCCCATTTATGAACAGCACTGGATGTCAACAGCTAAAAAAAAATAAATGTAATTTCTTGAAGTTTGAGCACAACCACGAAACAGGAGAAATTTATCAGCCATGGAGACTGTTTTCAGAGCAAATGTTTCCTTAGAGTGTACTAATCACTGTCTGGGGTGTTTTTCAGATGCTCTTCCTGCTCTAATGGCTTAATGAGTTAATTAAATCTGTAATTTCATTGAAGAACACCTTAAATCACAGTTTATGACAGAAAATAATATGTACCAGAGCAAAGTGTTTTCCATTTCCATGCACTGGTAAGGACTGTAACCTTTGCAAAAACAACTAATGTGAAACCAATTTGTTTGCAGATTGAACACATAACTATTAAATCTTCAAGGAGGTGTGCCACAAAGCTGCACTGATTCAGCTGTAATAACCATTACCAATTCACACTTTTTGAGCAGTTTCTATTGGAAAACAATGAACATGTGCCATGAAGAGAGAGGCATTTAATGCTGCTTTCCCACCTACTGAAACATGTTCTTTAAATCTGGTCTAATGTGGCTGTTTATAAAGGACACTAAGCTTCCATCTGCAAACTTAATTCCTGCGAGCTGTGCCTGAACATAAGCAGTTAAAAAGCTTAATACTTTAAGTACAATTACTTCTTGTGCCATTAATAGAAATTCTTGTAAATATCTCAGCAAATTGTAATTTAGTACATTCTAAACTTGGATTTCTGCAGATTATTCTTCTGGAGGAGGAATCTACACTATTTAATGTGCAAAGAATACCAAGTGATTTAAAAACATTATATGTAAGGTTTTATTCAGTCAAATGGAAAAATTCTCCCTTAAATTTCTAGCTTCCTTAAATATACCCATCTTCTCAATATTTTAAAATTAGGACACCAAGCAACTTCTTAAAATGTGTATGTATGCTTTTATACATATGGTCTAAAAACTGGGCAAGAAATTTAGGCAATATCCAAAACAGATGAAACAGTGGGAAGTAAATTGGTTTGGGGAGCTCTGCAGAGGAAGTTCACAAGGACCCAGAGAACAACAGGCAGAGTTACATTAAGCATTAAGTACTGAGGGGAAGGACAATTTCTAAACACATCGTAACAAGAGATTTAGCAATTCACCAAAGGAGCAGAATTAAAGGAAATCTGATTCTGAATTTGTCACTAATGGCTGTATCCAAGGGTCTTTAAGCCTGTCTTTGGGCTCCACCAATTACTAGAGGACTCTTCATTTAAGAAAAAAAAAAGCATCTCTGCCAGAATTGGCCAGAGTTGTAGAAATGAGACTTTGTATGATTTGAATCTAAGTTTATGTAAGATTTTAATCTAGGAAAATGATCTGAGTACGATTTTCATCTAAGAACCCAGGCACTAGTCACCATAGCTCCTGAAATCTGGATTACAAAACACTATTTCTGCCACGAACAACACACAGAAATATTGGTCTAATGTACCTACTTACCTTTTTAAATGCTTCAGGCATGCATCTGTCCATAAATCTCTTGCAATTCTCATCAGAATCAGAAAGACCTTTACAGAAAGGAGAGTGCTTTTTTAAAGTATTAAAAAAAAAAACACAACCCACAACTTTTTAGGATTACCTCAGGCAGTTTGTTTCAAGTTTTTGAAAACACCAACCTAAAACAGCAGAATAAATGTGCTACTGCTCATTCATAACTAGCATGCTTGTCTAGCCACAAAAAAGTGTAAGAGAACCTGCCTTCTAGAAATAAGGCTTCCCAATCTTCCATCTTTTACAACTTCTTCAAGCATTATCAGAACTGTAAGAATTTCTCCCTGCGAAGTTTCCAGTTCCTACTAACTTTAGATCATTTCTGACGTTTCACAGCCTCCACCCAAACCCAAATCTAAGCACAGCCTTTCAACACAAAAAAGCAGCAAACCAGATCCACCCAACAACTTCCCTTCTTCCAACGCATTATAACATCCTCTAGTTTTTCCATCGTGCCTGATGGCAGACTCATCTTGCACCCTCATTATATACCAGTTGTTGGGCCTCTTAACTCCACAGTACTGCACACAGAAAAGTCAAATTCAGGTCTAATGCAGTATAAGCATTTCACTGGGGAAAAAACAACCAGTTAAACAAGCATGGTAGAGCACTGATTTAGATGACAGCTTGTTTTCAGGAATGGAAAATAACCAGCACAATAAAAAAAACAGTCAGTCATTTAGCTCTGAAAAACAGTAATTCCTACAATCATTAGAACATAAAGAAACATGTGCTCCACTTTAAAAAAAAAGCTTAAATAAACAAATTACTTTAGAGGAAAAAAAGAGCCCAACGTTCTTTTTACAGCACTGGGTACAATAGTTCACTGTCAACCACTGTCACAGAGGCAGGATCATTCTGCACGGTGCTATGTAAACAACTGCAAGATTAAAACAAAAGCTATAACTGCCCACTGTAGTGCCTGTGAAATCCTTTGAACAGTTAATCTTTATATGTGTACAAGGAGAACTTACCCAGTCTTGCCAGGTAGGTGGATGCAATTAGGCACTTGCCCAAAGACTCTTCTCTCTTATAGGGTATGGACCAGTGATCTGTTAAAACTCTGCTCTCCAGCTCGTACAAGTTAGTTGTTGGAAACTCAATACCTTCACCAGAGCAATTCCCATTTTCATCGTTTTTCTATGAATAAAAAGGAAGTTCAAGTGAAACATTTTCTCTCTCTCTCCCCTAGACACTTGGAAGGATTTTAGTAGCTTCAGAAAATGCAGCTGTGCTCTTAACAAGCATGTCAAATTCTCACCAGCCCTAAGGCTGCCTCTGTTTTGCAAAGCAGAATTTAATATTTCAGTTTGGATTGAAGTGATTACATACCTTCATGTATTTTGTGGAGGTGATAACTACTATGTTTACATAACTAATTGTTAACTAATTGCCTATTGAAGTGACAAATCTTGTTCCTTAGCATATCAGATCCTAGAGCCAAGCGATAAGTACTTCCAGTCCCTGTGGGACTGTAGAGTACAAACCTTGATCTTCACAGATCTGCATCTTAATCCTCTGTTCAACAACTGCTGTGGAATATGGAATAGTTTATTCTAAGGGAGGCAAATTTCATCACCCTCTCACCCCATCACATTAAGAAACACAAGACACTAATCCAGTATGTCAGGACTAATTTCTATTTTTTTTTTACTAGCTAATTATCTAAAGAAAATTTACATTTCAAATATAGTTGTCCAACAAGGAAATTACAGTTGTCCTCCTGAAGTTAAAAGGAGTTATTGGAAAATGGTTTGGTAGGCAAAGAGGGAAAACCAAGCAGATATCTGCAGCTAAGAGCTACAGGTTTCCTTGCTCATGCCACTGAACAGCAGCTACTGCTGTGTGCAGGCAGAACACAGAATCAGCCCCATGTTCTTTGCCAAGTGCTATATGAGGCAACTGCCTCAGTAGTGCCAAATGAAAGAGGAGACAAGCTATCCACTTATTTTCTGTTGTTTATTTTTTTTTTACCTCACATAGGTGCTAGCTACTCAGTGTGTCAGAGTTCACATGGACTAACTTTCCTGGCCTCCACAAAAGCAGACAACTGAAGCAGGAGAAAGGGCAGAACGCCTGGCAGCAACCAGGAGCAACTGTCAGAGACAGAAGAAAACACCAGTGTAGTGATGAGAACAAGATCTCCCCCAAAGAGAAGCCAGGGACATGTAGGGAAGAAGGACAAGCAGGAAACGCATTCGAAAATGAAAATAAGTGTCATGAAGTGAATGGAACAAATCAGAAGGAATAAACCAGAAGAAAGAACTGAACTCAGGAGGACAAGGTATGCGGAGGACAAAACCAATGCATGCAGACAAGCGTGCTTCCAGCTATCTCACAGCACTAGCTATTAACAGGATTAGGCCTGTTTATTAAAAAAGTAAATGTCTCACATTCAGTTTCATAATGATTCAAAAATATTAAGCCAAGGAAACAGCAATTGTTAAGACTGTACCCTTTAAAGTTCACTGGTGCAGGTGACAATTGCATACAGTGGCTGGACTCACCAACAGCTTCTGGAGAGCAGCAGTAAAGTTTGTAAGAACAGAACACAAAATAGTGCTCAGAAAAAAAAAAACCCATCAGTGTTTGTGAAGTAAGGTGCCACCTTTCCCCAGCCCTCTATTAAACATTTAGTCCTAAGCTTGTCATTATGGGATGGTGTACTTGAGCAGACCTGAATATCAGCTTCTAAAACTGCAGCCATCTGATCCGTACCGTGTATGGAAACGTAGATGTGAATTACATGACTCGTGCCCTGCTTAAACACTTCTAGTTTTGGAAAAAGATATGTTTGAAGATCTAAACAAAAAGACACTGAAAGCATTTGAAAGATAAAAGCTTTTCAGGAAATATCACAGAATCATAGAATGGTTTGTGTTGAATGGGACCTTAAAGATCATCTAGTTCCAACCCCCTGCCATGGGCAGGGACACCTCCCACTAGACCAGATGGCTCAAAGCCCCATCCAGCCTGGTCCTGAACACAAACCTGTTGTGCTGATTAAACAAACAACAATTAAGTTTACAGTTTTTGTAAAGTATCTCCATCCAGCACACAAAACCATCTCCTGGAGAAAAGAAATGTGCAGTTACAGAAAAAGCACTTCTAGTGACAGCACAAGGCACAATGGTTAGTCTAATAAAGGTCAGTGGGGTATCATATAAACACCCAGTTGCTGGGTGCTCAGCAATCTCAGTTCAGCCTGGACTTGAAGCAAAGGAAAGCAACATTTCAACAAGTGGGGAGGGTAACTGAGCTATGGTTGCTCAATTCCCTGAAGGAAAGTGCCCATATAAAGCTAGGGTTAGCAAGGGACAGTTCAAGAGGTGCAATCTAATAGCAGTGTAGACCTTCAACCTGCTGTTCTGCCTCCCCCTCTGCACCTAAGCAACGCTGCTCTTTCCACACAGGCGACTGCAGTGCCATGTTAGCATGGAAAATTCTTAAGGAAGGAGTGAAATAACACACGTACCTCACCCTGCATTCAGCCCCCACCAGTAATGGCACTGGCACAAACCCCCACAAAGGACATCTGGGGCTACAGTGGGGTTGAGTCCACCAAAAATGTAGAGAAAAGATTTTTTTACACAAGAAATAACAATGGGTATGGTAGTGGGAATATTGCCTTAATAACAATACTATTTGCATTGAAGGAATATGGCTTTGGCACATTCCACTAATTAGAGACAACAAATCTTATCAGTTTTCTGCTACTAACACTCTGAAGTATCAGTTTTATTAAACTTTAGAACCTATCATATGGACGTAGCTTCACAGCTACTGCAAAACCTCCAACTGTCTCAATTAAATGCCCAGGTACCTTAAAACTCAAATTCCCCTTCAAATCATTCCTGAATGTAATACCCTGCCTTTTTTTCAAATTGCTGCTATGTTCAGTCTATATTGCTGCAGGCTGCACCTTGTTTCTTACCACATATGTAGTATAACTGCCTCTTTAAAGACATTTTCTGCTCTTTGATAATTAGTGTCTTTCCTTACAAAAAAAAAAAAACCAAACTGTTCATCAATCAACTTTTAAATCTCTTTAAAGCCAGGGATTTATCAAAAGCAGCTAGCAGGAGCTGCAGCAAGGTGCAATGTCAGCTCAGCTCGTGCATTATGTGATGTTGGCTCCCTGACCAGCACAGGCTGGAGATCTTGTGGCTGTTCACATTTGCAAATGCAACACATCCCAGCTCTGAACAGGAGGCCACAATTAACACTTTGTAACAGAGGAGCTGGGAATTGGCACTACAGACCACTACCCACACAGGTCCACAGGTGAAATAAAAGCTTTTAAGAAAGATTATGAGTCATAAACAGTACACAAGGTCATGCCAGCCTCCCAAAAAGTGGCTTCCTGGGTATCCTCTTGGGGAATCATGTTTAGTCGGTTGGTTTAGTTTTGTTTGCTGCCTTTTTTTTTTTATATATATAAAGAAACTACCTCCCTCTCCTCAAATAGATGACTTAAGAATGGTGTCTACCCATTGATGATGGGCTGAATCAGGACCATGGGTTGTAGCTGAACAGACTTAATACTGAACTGACACCCCATGTGTTAAGGATTTGTAGGAATATTCTCCAACAACAGAACAGTAAAAAGCAAACAAACTATTTCTGGCAGCCAGGGGGTCATTTAAGGATAAACTATTCAAAAATCTGTAAGAATCACCTGTTTTCTGAGACAGGGGATTGTGGTGCACATGACACATCCTGTGATGTGCTAGTCTCTGTGTGGCAGCTGAAATCTTGAGATCAAAAAACATTTGTGGGCAAACCTTTAGCATAATTTTCCATGCTTCTGATGTAGTTCTCAATACGCAAGAGCTCTGAAGATCCCCTCGTTCTAAGAGGCTTGGTTCTTTTGGCTTATTTTCAAGGTGTGACAATGCAGTTATCTCCAAGTGTACAACATAGGCTCCCAAGAGAAATATCCTCACATGAACAGCTTCAAGCATGAATTTAAGATTCTCACTTTAGGGACCTGGCAGCTCCCAGATCCATGTGCAAGGCTGAATAAACAAAAATTGTTAAATATCTCATCAATAAAGCATTGCTGAAGTCTGTAGGAAAAAACCTTCCACAGAAGACTAACAGAGAACAAAGATTAGCTCTCACACAAGAAGTGAAATATAAATTAACTTTAATTACCAAAAGGTTGAAAGCTTCCAAACATATTCCTGTAGTATTCAGCTAATTAACTTGTCAAACACTCTTTAACTAAAGCCACTGACGTTTACCACACTGATCACTTTACATAAAATAACAACGAGTTTAAGAAAGTGTTTTGATGCTAATTGGCAGGCTTAGTAATGAAATTACTGTCAAATTACAATTTAAATTTGTTAATTTGATTTTGACAGAAGGCTACCAACAGAATTTATTACCACCAGAGCTAAGTCACATTACATGCTTTTAAATCTAGTGTAACTTACGAAACAGAACCCCAAAGTCATGTTTCTTTCAACAATCTACATGATCAGACTTTCTAAGATACCAGCAGATCAAGCAGCTCCTTTCAGTTGTGTGTCTCTCTGATAAGATTTTCACAAAATTACCACCATTTTATGGCAAAAAACCAGATTTTTGATGCTTCACTGTATCGTTAAAAGAAAAATAAACCCTATTTTATTACTGTGTACCCACAAAGAGGACCAAATTTAATTGCTCTGTAAAGAAGTAATGAAAAAAAAAAAATGCTTAAAGCCAGAATTAGAAGACAAAAATTCTAGGTCCACCTTTCAGTTTTTATCCCAGACATACTAAGCAACAAGGAAATTTTTCAATGCTTCAGCTTTCCAGCTGTAAAGTGTCACCAATGCCACCTCCCTCTGGCACAGCACGCTGAAGCATCATTCACTCATGTGTGCAAAGTACTTCAAGGTGCTCAGGTGGAGGCAAGGCAAGAGAAATACATCAAGTACTCAAACACCTACAACATTTCTCTGCTCTCTGATCTATCATGTCCACTTTGTGGACTGGATTGTCCTGACTTGACAGTCCCTCTACCTGCCAGGCTACTGATTGAAGGAGCTTTTGCTTTCATGCCTGGATGTTAGTACTTTTTAATTAGCTCCTAAAAGGAGGATATTCTGTAACCCAGAACTGAAACACAGGGGTAAGAATTA